ATTTAGTAGTTTTGTGGCAGTCAAAACTAAGGTTAGGGAAGTGGCGCTGTGGCTCAAGTGGTAGAGCGCTTGCCTTGCGCTGCGCAAGGACAGTGCCCAAGCCCAGAATTCAAGCCCCACGACTGACAAAAAACAAACAAACAAAAAAAAAAACCTAAGGTTAGAACCAAGACTATATTCATAAAAGAATGGATAATGGGAGAGAAAAGCAGCCTTGTTATTAGTCAACCTTCCTAGGAGCTAAGCACTCAGGAGAACATTTTTAACTTTGTTTTTCCAAACTTGGGAAACAATTCAGATTCTGAATCCAGAAAAATGCTTAGGCTATATAAGTAAATCTTACTCCTGAAAGATGGAAAAACTAGACACTGGAAACAGTAGTGGTTCTTCAGACACATTAAGTGTCTTCTCAACCCTGCACACATAAAAATATAGATGGGGTGGGGGAGGGGGTGGCACAGCAAAGTATAGACACAACTTTAAACAGGCCAACCATGGGTGCATAATGCAGTAAAAGAAAATAGAGTGCAAGGGAAGGGGGGTAACATTGTCCAAAAAGGAATATACTCTTCACCTGACATGTAACTGTAACCCCTCTGGACATCACCTATATAATAATGACCTTTATAATAACAGAAGTTAAAATATTAAGCATACTGTATTTTTTGTTGTTGTTGTTGGTCATGGGGCTTAAACTCTGGGCCTGGGCACTGTCCCTCGGCTCTTCAGCTCAAGGAAAGCACTCTACCATTTGTTGAGCCACAGTGCCACTTCTGGTTTTCTGGTGGTTACTTGGAGATAAGTCTTACAGACTTTCCCGCCCAGACTAGCTTTGAACCATCATCCTCTTATCTTAGCCTCCTGAGTAGCTATAATTACAGGTGTGAGCTGCCAACATCTGGCTCATACTGCATTTTTTTTTTTTTTTTTTTGGTCGGTTGAGGGGCTTGGACTCTGGGCTTGGGTGCTACCCCTCAGCTCTTCAGATCAAGGTGAGCGCTCTACCACTTAAGGCACAGCACCACTTCCAGTTTTCGAGTGGTTTATTGGAGATAAGAGTCTCAAGGAGTTTACTGCCCATGCTGGCTTTGAACCTCGATCCTCAGATCTCAGCCTCTTGAGTAGCTAGGATTACAGGTGTGAGCCACTGGGCCCGGCTAATACTGCATTTTTTAAAATCAGCTATACAGTAGCCTACTGCAGACCAAATACAAGGCTATAAGTACTCCAAAAGAACAGCAAAAAGACATAAAGATAATGGTAAACATTTCATGAGCTAGATTGCAAATAAAGGAAATCGTGACAACTTTGTAACTTGTAAAAATTAATTTACTCAAATGACACTAAGTGGAGCTTAATAATGAAGGTTTTAATTTGGAAATATGAAGGCAGCCTTTAACTTATTTACTGGGTTCATATTAGAAAAAAATGAAAACATTTTACTGGGTTACACTATAATTAGTTTCTCTTAACCTAAGTAGTTACTATCATATATATTTTCCTCAAAACATCAAAATGTATCATAAAATTTCAGAGATGAGTAAAATTAATTAATAAAAAAATATAAATAAGTAGTTTAAAAGTCAATTTTCTGCTGGGTGTCAGCAGTTCTGTAATTGTAGTTACTTAGAGACTAAAATCTGAGGTTTGAGGTTCGAAGTCAGGCTAATTTGTTAGATTCTTGTCCCCCCATTAACCACCTCAATCCAGAAGTAGAGGTATGGCTCCAGTGGTGGACTCGCAGCCTTGACTAAAAAAGTCAAGCCACAGCACGAGGGGCTAAGTTCAAGCCCCAGTACTGACACCAAAAAAAGAAAAGAAAAAAAACCAATCTTCCTCACATAATTCAAAGATCTGAATTTTACCTTTTTTTATTATCCCCGCAAATGTTACACTAGAGGAAATGATTGGGAAAATACAAACAGACTTATTAAAAACACCGACTGATTATTCATTCTATTACATTCAGAAGTATGCAAAAACAATTATTATATTGCAAAGCTGTAGGTCCTTTTCTAACAAAGCATTATAAAACTGTAGTGTTGTCATTGATTGCATTTTAATACAAAATACTTATATACACAATACAATATAAAAGTAAACTGTGTAGTGCCTTCCACAAAAGATATATTAAGGCGCTTTACAAATATATCAATATGTTGACCCGAATTACTTTTTGCTTTAGATTAAAACAAACAGGCTAAATGTTTCACTTTAAATACCAAAGGAATTCCTTTTTTATTAAAGAAAAATTTCTAAAGTACCTTGGGTAACAGCAGCAGCAATATCTAAAGATCCTCCCACTGTATTCTCTAAGTTCTAACATATTAAGTCAGAATAAAACAAATTTTCACTCACAGTTTTGCACTTTGCAACAGCAGAAGGTAATAACTTTTTTAAAAAGTCAATCTCAAAGTGACTTCTTAGTCATACATTCTAGTTTCTATTACAGATGAGAAGGTAGAAAAGATACAGCAATAGGACCTGCCTTAGGATGTCACTGGACAATACGTAACAGTATCTACAATTACATAATTAGAGAACACATTTTATAAATACTATTTGATATGCATATAAAAAGGGTTAAGTATAAGAAAGACAGCAAGCTTTTAAATGAGAAATTTTCTTTTAAAAAGAAAATATAGAACCAATGTTTTCGTGCCATTTCAATTAAGAGTATCTCGATTTTTTTTTTTAATGTTGTTCTTGCTTTTTTAATCAGCAAGCACCAGATACTATACTGGAAGAACTGGCTATAGCTGGGGAATAAGACAGCTAACAAGTATAGCCATACTACTAAATTGCAGATACCTATGGCTTGTATACTGCTTGTACAGTCAGAGGAAATGTAAAGGGCTACAAAATTGTGGTGTTTCTTACCTTTGAGGAAAATACAGTATTGACTGTGAGGAAGTGAAACAGCACCTTAGTTTTCCCTTAATGTAAATGTAACAAAGTTAGTGTTCTACTGCATTGCACCATAGGCCAGAATTAAAACAAAAGACCATTTAAGCAAATCTGACTGAAAAAGTTCAAAGGATAAGAGGGATATCTTATAAATGTGAGTGCCAAGCTAAAAATTCTTGAATTATTTTGCTTTGCATAATATTTTACAGGATTAATCAAATGCTCCACAAAGTAAAAATCACCATTTTATGACAGTACATTTATTTTTATGATTCTAATTAGAAATCTATCATAAATATTTCTGAATTAAGCCTGTAATGAACCCAACATTAGTGCCCTCACAATGCTGTTCAAACCTCTTAAGTGTTGTACCAGCTATGGATCTTTCCCACCACAGACTGTCAGTACGAACACAAGATGTGCCAAAGCCAGGCACCAGTGGCTCACGTCTATAAGCCTAGCTTCAGGAGGCTGAGATCTGAGGCTTGTGTTTCAAAGCCAACCCAGGCAGGAAAGTTCATGATTCTGGCCTCCAATAAACCATTCAGAAAACCGGAAGTGGCGCTGTGGCTCAAGTGATAGAGCGCTAGCCTTGAAGAACAGAGGGACAGTGCACAGACCCAGAGTTCAAGCCCCACAACTGACAAAAAAAAAAAGTGCCAATCTGAATACTAATCAGTAAATTAAAAGAACTTGCTTTAAGATACCAATTTTCTTACAGGACAGAGTTCCTTAAGAGTCTATGACAGGTCTCAACATATCCTGAATCTCTACAAACTGCAAACAGATTTTATGTGTGTGTTGATATGCATGATTTCCCACAGAGTCTTTAGTACACTGTCAGAAGAACTAGTAACTTCAAAGGCTGATGGCTAGAAATTGAGCACTAACTGTGCAATCTTGCTGGAACCGCTTTACCTTTAATTTTACTACAACATGGTTTCCACTAGCTTTTATGAAGAAAGCTAACATTTTGAAATATCAGGGCTGGGAAGGTGGCTCAGTGGTAGAGTGCTTGCCTTGCATGCATGAGGCCCTGGGTTCGATTCCTCAGCACCACGTAAGTAGAAAACCCCAGAAGTAGTGCTGTGGCTCAAAGTGGTAGAGCACTAGCCTTGAGATGACGAGCTGAGGGATAGTGCCCAGGCTGAACAACAACAACAAAAAAAGAAAAATCACTAAAATTATACCTCTTACCAGCAAACACTAAGTCTTGATAAAGCAATTTGTAAAACTAACAAAGCTTAAGATAAGGAAATGAGATATAAACCTATAGTAAGGTCAGAAGAGAGCCTGATTCCCCTTTCTAGACAATAATTTCTGTGTATTTTGGTATGGAACCACAATTCCGCCTTAGAATCTAAACATTATATAAATGGGAATATTCAAAAACATTAAATAAGAAGTCCTGAGTTTTCTAAGACCACTATGTAACTTTTCCTAATTAGCAACAGCCATTTTAATTAAGTTAACAATTCTTACCATTAACCTATCCTTAGGTAAAAAACTGCCAAATAGCCACACTTTATTTTTTCAGTAATAATTTGTTCATTTAATATTATTTTGAAAGAGGAAATCTATAGCATTAATGACATATCAAGACTATTCTGTTCTTTTATTGCAATGCTGAGGATTGAACCCAGGACCTCGTGCATGCTAGGCAAGTGCTCTACTACTGAGCTACATCCCCAGCTCCATGAAAAAATATTAAGTGAATATCAAAAATAATTGCTGGTTAGCAATTATACACTGAATATTTGTTTACTAAGCATAGAAACATTTTCCTAATTTCAATGTGAAAACATGAAAGAAAGACCATAACTTTTGAAATTATTGACTATGGTAACTTTGTTCCCTTTTAAAACCTGGAAGCAGCTTTAAGATCAACATGGAGTCAAAATTAGTAGTGCTATGGCTTCTTTTAAAGCCAATAGTTACTGAGAAGAAAACTAGGAGATTAACTATTCTGGTAAGGAGGAGTGATGAACATTTTCACTCTGTATGTTTTAGCTCCAGGATGTGACTTAGACCAATTATCATTAGCCTGGGAATACTCTCCAAAATGATGGCTTAATTTTTTAAGCTTTTTTTTGTACCAAAAGTAAGGTTACAGGAGAAAAAAAGCTCTGCAAATATGGGTATGTTTCATATTTGGTTAAAGCAAGATAAAACAAACTGTCTTTCAAAAAATTTCAAAAACTCTTGAATTTTAAAATTATTTAGTATATATACAAATAGATACCAGGCTTCTCCTTTTAAACACAATACTATTTTTTAAGTACTTTAAGTACCAAAAACTGACTATAATATTCAATTCATAATTTACTTTTCTTATAACAGTTTTTTTCTAAATTACTGATTAAAAGGGGTGGAATAAATTAACATTTTAAAATGAGTTCCCATAATTTAGGAAAATAAAAATATTGTGCACAGAGTACAGGTATATAGCTCTGCCACATTTGCATACATTTATTCTCAAAACTTCAAAAATTCCTGCGTTTCAGGCCTTTTTGCAAATCTTCATTACAATTTTTCCTAATATGTTAAACATACACTAGATCACGATTTTTTATCTCTGAGCCTGTATGTTGATCATCTTCATCGGACTGTTGCTCTGAGCCTTGTGAATTAATATATTCATATTCAATAGGCTTTGGATAATTATATGGGTAGCCATTGTCATCAAAAAACCTCCGAAAGGTAAATTCATAGAAAGCATGTTCAGGGTGTTTTCCATTTTTGTACCATCCATTGAGAGTGTCATTTACGTTTTCTTCCTCATTATCTTCACTCCACAATTTATCAGGATCAACAGGGTCAAAATTTGATGTGTCTGTTGGGTGTGTGATTTTGGGAATATATGAAGCTGATTGCTGTCGCAGATCACTGGAGAAATCTATTGTTTTAAAAAATGGATGAGCTTTTATTTCATCAGCACCATTCTTCCCTAAGCGGTCTTCTGGTCCTCGGCAAAGTTTGATAATGAGATCAGATGCTTCAGGACTTAATTTGGCTTGTGGTGGAATGTGGAGAGAAGTCTGCCAGTTGATAACCTTTAAAAAGTTAAAAAAAAATTAGCTTCAAGTACCACAACACAAACTAATAGACAAGTAGAATTGCTAGGAAGAGAGGAAAACTAAAATTTCTTCTGAGTTTTATACCAAATATCTTATTGGGCTATTTAAAAAAAAGTAACATAGCCGCGAGCCAGTGGCTCATGCCTGTAAATCCTAGCTACTCAGGAGGCTGAGATCTGAGGTTTGCAGTTCAAAGCCAGCCCGGGCAGGAAAGTATGTAAGACTCTTAACTCCAATAAAAACCACTAGAAAACCGGAAGTGGCACTATGGCTCAAGAGGTAAAGTGCTTGCCTTGAGCTGAAGAGTGCAGGGAGAGCGCCCAAGCCCAGAGTTCAAGCCCTATAACTGACCAAATAATAATAATAATTAATAATAATAAATAACTTACATGCTATTTTACCACTCTAGACCATTACTAATAAATTAATGCTGGAAAAAAACTTTTCTCCTATCTTTTCCTCTCAAATAGCAAATGTATACCACGAGACTGTAAATAAGTTTGTTTTGTTTTTGTTTTTTTTTTTGGGTCCGGTCGTGGGGCCTGAACTCTGGGCCTGGACCCTGTCCCTCAGCTCTTCAGCTCAAGGCTAGTGCTCTACCACTTGAGCCACAGCGCCACTTCCGGCTTTTTTCTTCTTGCTTATGTGGTACTGAGGAATTGAACCCAGGGCCTCATGCATGCAAGGCAAGCGCTCTACCACTGAGCCACCTTCCCAGCCCTGTCAATAAGTTTTTACTGCCTCTGTTAACCCTTCTGGTAGAAACTACTAGTTTACTACTACTACTACTACTAACTACCACTACTACTCTGCTTCTCCTGCATCACATATTTACTTCTACTATAGTATTTCTAATACTTTGCATGTGTGCTGGTACTGAAGCTCGAACTCAGAACCTCAAACTCACTTGGCTTTCTTGTTCACAGTTGGTACTCTACCATTGAATCACTCCTCCAGTCTAGAATTTTGCTGGTTAATTGGAGATGGAATCTCAAAGACTTTTCTGTCCAGGCTGCAATCTTTACTGACTTGTTTCCTTACTATTGAGTGTTCTTTATATATTTGATTGTATTTCGTTTGTTTGTTTTTTGTTTTTTGCTGGTCCTGAAGCTTGAACTCAGGGTCTGGGCACTGTCCTTGGGCCTCTGTGCTCAAGGCTAGAGCTCTACCACTTGAGGCACAGTATCACTTCCAGCTTTTTCTGTCTATGTTGTGCTGAGGAATCAAACCCAGGGCTACATGCATGCTAGGCAAACACTCTATTGCTAAGCCACATTCCCAGCCCTTTGACTGTATTTCTAGTAAAGGGAAAATCCTTTCTTCTTTCCTGCCTTCTCTCCTCTCTTTTCTATCTTCCTCCTCCCACATATACAAATATACTTACACACACACACACACATATATACATACATATATACACAAATATATCAATGTATTTATATGATATTACAAAGATATAATATACAAGCCTGATAAAATATGTTATCAGCTGGGTAACACTGTAAGAAGTTCTAGTGGGGTGCTGGTGGTTCATGCTTGTAATCCTACTACTCAGGAAGCTGAGATCCAGCCAGTAGGAAAAGTTTGTAACACCTCATCTCCAAAACAATAAAAACAGAGCTGGAAGTATGACTCAAATTGTAGACCACCAGCCAGACAAGCAAACAAGCAAATCAAGTGCAAGGCCAAGGCCTACTACTGCATACCCACCCCACCTCACCCCCGCCAAAAAAAAAAAAAAGAAATTGCAAAAGATGTTTTAAAATATTAAATGCTATGAAAGAGGTAGTTACACCTTGGGTTAGGTTACAGAAAAAATGTTAAGACACACTCAAAGACTAAGAATGATCCAGAGTTAATCAAGCTTCAGAAAGAAAGCTGTGAAACACAGAAGAAAAGGAATACATTCCAAATCAAGGGGATGGGATATATAAAGAAGAGGATGACACTGGGTACTGGTGGCTCATGCTTGTAATCCTACTCAGGAGGATAAAATCTGAGGATCACAGTTCAATGCCAGCCTAGGCAGAAACGTCCAAGAGAATATCTTCAACTACCAGCAAAAAAGGTGGACTGAAGGCTTAGCTCAACTGTATAGTGCCATCTGTGAACGAAAAAGCTAAAAAATGAGTCTAGGGTTCTGAGTTCAAAATTCTGATACCAGTACACACACGAAAAAAGAATAGCATTCATCTAGCTGGCCTTGAACTCTTTTTTTTTTTTTTTTTGGTCCAATCCTGGGGCTTGAACTCTGGGCCTGGGTGCTGTCCCTGAGCTCCTTTTGGTTCAAGGCTAGTTAGTGCTCTACCACTTAAGCCACAGCTCCATGTCCAGCTCTTTCTGTAATTCAGTTGAGATAAGAGTCTCACAGATTTTCTTGCCCAGGCTAGCTTTTGTACCACAATCCTCCGATCTCAGCCTCTTCAGTAGCTAGGATTATAGGTGTGAGCCACCAGTGCTTGGCTTGGCCTTGAACTCTTTCTTGATCCTCCTTCCCTAACCTCTAAGGTAGCTGAGATTACAGGTTTGCATCGCAATGTCCAGCTACAAATTCAGTCTTTAACTTCTCTATGTGAAATACATGTTGAACACCTCTAATCCCCAATTCCAAAATGTGAAATATTCTAAAATACAAAACTTTTGGAGTGCTGATGTGATGGTCCTGATTCCATTCCTCATGATAATCAAGAGTATAAAAAGGGCACAAGGCCCTTTATAGTAAAAAGTAAAATAAAATTTAAAAAATAAAAGTACATGAAAATATTGCACAAAATTGTCTTCAGGCTATGTGTCTAATGGGCCTATCAAACATAAATGGGCTTCATGTTTAGACTTGGGTCTCATCCCTAATATTACATCATGTATGTGCAAATATTCAAAAATCTGAAAAAAATGTGCAACACTTCAAGCCTCAGGTAGTTTACATAAAGAATATACACAGAAGTACTGTTTTGTGCTGTACATAAAGGTCTCTGGTTCAGGAACTTTGTGAGAATTCTTTTGATATAGATTCTATACCTTACCTTCATTTGTGTTTCTAATGGTGTTTGTGCCAAGAAAGGAGGTTGTCCCACCAACATTTCAAAAAGAATAACACCAACACTCCACCAATCACATAACTGTGTATATCCTAAGGTAAAATACCAAAACTACAGTTATTCATTAGCATTCTTTTAAATATGCTCAGAATTCATTAAATCAACATTAAACCATCAATTTATATTGTCAACTCAATACTTTTATCATAAACTTGAAAAAAAGGCAGTATAAGTTTTGACTAATCTAAATGCCTAGTAAGATTATAGGAGACTAAATGCTTTCCTTACCTGTTCGTAGCAACACTTCAGGTGCAATATAATTGGGAGTCCCAACCAAAGAATGTGCTAGACATCGCTGGTGCTGGCGTGCAGCTCTCCGCTCTAGGGGCTTTAGTCTGTCTCCACATCGACAGTTTGAAGGATCACCCCATTCATTACTGAAATCCATGCTATCCTGCCGTGGATGGTCACCTGTAAAGAAGAAAACTTAAGTAAAAGCAACAAGGACAAAAACAAACAGTGTGTTAAACCTTTTATAATCATGATTTAGGGTGGGTAGTATTTTCCATTGTGAGAAATTAAAATATAAAGTATGTCAAATCACTCATGGTGTTCATTACTAACCAAGGCCTGTTTTCTGAGATACAAAGAAGAAAACTTTTAAACTAAGAAAACACAACACTCGATAATTTACTCAGTATTACATGATGATAATCTAAAACATGGGCTGGTAAACTTACTGTAATTCATACTGCTTTTTATTTCTCTGGACAAATTTTCAAATAAAATTTATTGTGCTTTCATTTATTTGACAATTGACAATAAATAAGACAAGCATATATTCTTTGTAAGAAAAGAAACATAACAAATAAATACATATGTAGGAAACAATAGTGAAGATGGGTGCCAAGCAAGCACTGATGGTTATGCCTGTAATCCTACTCAGTAGCTGAGACCTGAGGATCATGGTTTGAAGCCAGCCTGGGCAGTAAGGGCCATGAGACTCTTATTTCCAATTAGACATGAGAAAATTGAAGTGGTGCTGTGGCTCAAAGTGGTAGAATGCTAGTCTTAAGCAAAAGAACTCAGGGACAGCACATAGGGCCCGAGTTTAAGCCCCACAACCACCACCACCACCACCACCACCACCACCACCACCACTAACAACAACAAAAATTGAAGATGAACCTACAGGTATAGCTAAATGGTACAATGCATGTCTGAAGACACACCATCTCTTTAAACAAAAGAACAACAACAACAACAAAAAACACACACAGAAAAATAGTAGCAGACTAAAGAAACAATTGACCTTCTGAAGCTTGGGCTTAGATTGGATAATTGTTAGGGTTTGTAGGGGAGACAGATTTCAAAACCTCTGGTATGCTGTCCCAGGAAACTAGGTGCTCCTTCTAACTTAGGAGGTATTTAAGATGACATTAAAATAAATTTAGATTTGCTCATAAAAAAAACAAAAACAAAAACTAGGCGCCAGTGACTCATACCTGGAATCTAAGCTACTCAGAAGGCTAGCATTGCAATTCAAAGCCTGCTAAGTTCATGAGACTTTTATCTCCAATTTTTTTGGGGGGGGGTCTGGTCATGGGGCCTGAACTCTGGGTTTGGGCTCTGTCCCTCAGCTCTTCAGCTCAAGGCTAGCGCTCTACCACTTGAGCCAGAGTACCACTTTTTTCTTTTTTTGCTTATGTGGTGCTGAGGAATCGAACCCAGGGCCTCATGCATGCAAGGCAAGCCCTCTACCACTGAGCCACCTTCCCAGCCCACTTTTATCTCCAATTAACCACCAGAAATCCAGAAGTGGAGCTGTGGCTCATGTGGTAGAGTATAAGCCTGGAGCAAAAAAAGCACTTAGGCTCTGAGTTCAAGTCTCATGACCAGCACACACACAAAAAAAAACAACAACAAAGAGAAACAGTGAAATGTCCTACAGATGATGAACCAAGTGTAACTAGATAGCTACATTACATTGGGTGGCTGGGGAAGAGTAACTACAATGGTTGTATTTGCTAAGATGTAAAAAACAAGGACAAAAATATGTAAGCCAGGTGAGGATTTCCCTCTGCCTCCCCCCCACCCCCAGTCCTGGGGGAAAGTCCTGTTCAAGGTTAGTGATCTACCATTTGAACGACAGAACCACTTCCAGCCTTTTCTGAATAGATAATTGAGATGAGAGTCCCACGGACTTTTCTGCCCCTAGTCTGCTTCAGACTAGGATCCTCAGATCTCAGCCTCCTGAGTATCTAGGATACAAGCATGAGCCAGCAGCACCCAGCTAGGACTTTCTATAACAAAATCCAATCAATGAAAACTAGTACAGATAATGATGGAGAGAATGGCTAGAAATGGAAAACCCAGTGCACATGGGCTGTACAGTGAAAAGATTGTGGAGAGTTTGAGACAAAAAAGTAATTTTATTTTTAAAAAGGAAAAGAAAGAAAATTCAGGCCACATTGTAGAGAACAGACTATAGGAATAGTGAAAATAGACCAATCAGGTACGCTTGAACTAGCATGGTGATAATGAAGTGCAGAGAAGTGAACAGTTAATAGATTCAGGATATTATATTTTTGAGGAGGAATAAACAGGGTTGTTGATGGATGAACTAGATGTGGAGGGTATGGAGGAAAAAATCATTAGGAAAAGCCAGGTACCACTAGCTAGCGCCTGTAGTCTTAGCTACTAAGGAGGCAAAAATCTGAGGATAGAGGTTTGAAGCCAACCCAGGCAGAAAAATCCATGAGGCAACTGACTCCAATTAACCAGCAAAAAGCTGTAAGTGGAAGTATACAAGGAGTAGAGCACCACCCTTGAGTTCAAGCCAATGTCAATAAAAAAAAAAAGGACTTGGAAGTCACACACACACACACACACACACACACACACACACACACACACTGGAATACAGCCAAGGAATATCTTAAATATGAACCCTAAGTAAATACAATAAATACTATTCATTACATATCAATCTGCTTTCCTTCACAGTAGCACAGAAAGTGCTATGTTAATAATACTTTAATTAAATACTTGGGAGGATTGTTGTAAACATTGTTAGAATATACCTACTAGAGAGTAAGTATTCAACAAATGTGAGATCAACTTACACTTCCATTAAGGCTTCAAGGGTTCTTGATGATGCAGTGTAGTGTAGTACCAAATAAAATAACATGGGCCCTGTAATCAGACAAACCTAGGTTCAAAGCCTAGCCCTTACATTTAACTTCTTTCTGACCTTGGGCAAGTACCTTCACCTAAGTAAGCCTCATTTTCTTCAACCTGCTTCACAGTGTCATATGATTAAACAGTCATGTACATAAAGTGTTTAGAGAAATAGGTGTATGATAGTTATACAAAAAATTCTAAATAGTAAAAAGATAAATAACATATAAAAGATAAAATATAAACATGAAGAAATAAAAAGATATGAGAAAAATATAAAAGATAAAAACAAGATATTAATATATAAGAATACATATACAATGATTACATTTAAATAAAGTTTCAAGAATAGGAAAAATGTATTATTTAGGGATATATACATATATGACAAAAATGGAGAGAAATCTAGTCAAAAAGTTCTGAAATAATGTATAGCTTTGAGAAAAAAAGGAAGTGATTGTTTAATGGCTTATAAAATACTTATTTAACTTATGGACATGGGGCTCCATTTAAAAATTATTTTTAAGGGGCTGGGAAGGTGGCTCAGTGGTAGAGTGCTTGCCTTGCATACATGAGGCCCTGGGTTCGATTTCTCAGCACCACATAAGCAGAAAAAGCTGGAAGTGGTGCTGTGGCTCAAGTGGTAGAGCACTAGCCTTGAGCTGAAGAGCTGAGGGACAGAGCCAGATTACACCAGTAGCTCACACCTGGAATCCTAGCTACTCAGGAGGCTGAGACCCTGAAGATCTCAGTTCGGGGCCTGCTTGGGCAAAAAGCCTAAGAAACTCCATCTCCAATTAACCAACAACAACAAAAATAATCTGTCCCAACAAAAATCCAGGACTCAGCCAGGCACTCGTGGCTCACGCCTGTAATCCTACCTACTCAGGAAGATGGGATCTGAGTACTGAAGTTTGAAGCCAACCAGGGCAGGAAAACTCCATGAGATTCCTATCTCCAATAAACTGGCTGGAAGTAGAGTTATGGCTCAAGTGGTAGAGCACTAACCTTGAGCAAAAGAAGCTTAGGGACAGAGCCCAAGCCCAGAGTTCAAGCCCCAGGACCTGCAAAAAACAAAAACATAGCCGAGAGCCGGTGGCTCATGCCTATAATCCCAGCTACTCAGGAGACTGAGATCTGAGGATTGCAGTTCAAAGCCAGCATGGGCAGGAAAGTCCCCAAAACTCTTATCTCCAATTAACCACCAGAAAATTGGAAGTGGTGCTGTGGCTCAAAATGGTTGAACATTATCCTTGAGCTGAAGAGCTGAGTGCCCAGGCCCAGTTCAAGCCCCAGGACAGACAAAAAAAAAAAAGGGAAAAAAAATGCAGAGCTGGAGGTATGGTTCAAGTGGTAGTATGTCAGCTGTAAACAAGCAAACCCAGTGAGTGTGAGATCTTGAGTTCAAGCCCCATTCCCAGCCTATAAACACACAAATTATTTTTTAAAAGATGCCTTCTACTTCAAAATAACAAATTTTTACAAAGAAGCTAACTCAAGGTGTTTGGCAGAAAGCCTCAAATGGTAGACTGCCTATTTAGCAAGTGCGATGTCCTGAGTTCAAAACCTACTATGGTTAAAAACAAAACTAAACACACACACACACACACACACAAGACATTATCTTAAAAATGTTAATAGTGCTAAGTGCAGAAACTGAAGAGAAAGAGTTCAGATATTTAGTCATTTTCACATTTGCAAAGCAGTGCTGCTTTATTCCAAGCAGGAATATTTTAGGATTACAGGACACCAATATTATAAAACATAATGGGTGCTGGTGGCTCATGCCGGTAATTCAGATCTCAGAAGGCTGAGATCTGAAGATTGTGGTTTGAAACCAGCCTGGACAGAAAAGTCTGTGAGACTCTTCTCTCCAAATAAACCACTAGAAAACTGGAAGCAGTACCATGGCTCAAAGTGGTAGAGTACTATCCTTGAACAAAAGAGCTCAGAGATGGGGAGAGGGAAAGTGGGAGAAAATAAGGGAGGGGGTACCACTGTTTGAAAAGAAATGTATGTAACTGTAACCTGACTGTATATCACCTTTACAATAAAATTAACTATAAAAAAAAAGATCTCATAGGAAGTGGCGCTGTAGCTCAAGTGGTAGACCGCTCGCCTTGAGCTGAAGAGCTGAGGGACAACGCCCAGGCCCAGAGTTCAAACCCCACGACCAAAAAAAAAAAAAAATTATATCACCAAAAAAGATCTCATAGACAGTGCCCAGGCCGCCGAGTTCAAGCCCCATGACCATGACCACCACCACCAACAACAACACAACAACAACACACACACAAAACCACACACACAGTTGGGAGGGTGACTCAGTGGTAGAGTATTTGCCTCTACCACTGAGGCTCTGGGTTTGATTCCTCAACACCACATAAGCAGAAAAAAAAAAAAAAAAAGCCGAAGTGGTGCTGTGGCTGAAGTGATAGAAGGCTAGCCCTGAGCTGAAGAACTGAGGGACAGAGCCCAGGCCCATAGTTCAGGCCCTACAGCCAACAAAACAACAACAACAACATCCCCCCCCCAACACACACACACCAAAAAAAGTTAATAGTATTTAGAATATTAAGTACATTCTTTCTTTTTATAAATCTGTAAGTCTATTTATCCAACAGTGAAGACCTGACCCCCTCAGGTCTTCTGGCTCCCATTCAGTGATGACACCATCACAAATTTTACTTAAGTTTTACTGCATAAGTAACATTCTTGTGAACTAAAATAATTTGTGTAAGTTTACTTACCACTCTGGTAGTACTTGGAATCATGTGTCCATCTGAACCCAGTGCACAGGCCAAAGTCAGTCAATTTAATGTGACCATCACGATCAATCAAAATGTTATCAGGCTTAATATCTCTATGAATAAAACCCATTTTATGAACACTTTCAACTGCACAGGTAAGTTCTGCTATATAGAATCGTGCCAGATTTTCTGGAAAGATGCCCATTCTGATTAACAGGCTCATCATATCACCCCCAGGAATGTAGTCCATTACAAAATATAAATTGTCTTTATCTTGGAATGAATAATATAAGCGAACTACCCATTCATTGTCAGCTTCAGCCAGGATATCTCTTTCAGCTTTAACATGAGCAACTTGATTTCGAAGTAGAACATCTTTCTTTCGAAGAGTTTTTGTTGCATACAAAGCCTTAGTATCTACTTTTCTTGCTAGACAGACTTCACCAAATGCTCCTATTCCTAATGTCTTTATCTTCACAAACATAGACTTGTCCATTTTAGCCCTTTTAAGACGGATGTAATTAGACTCTTTCTGGCAAAGCATCTTTCTCATTTGATCCTGGGCATCTTGAGATAATCCAACCTAGGTAAATAAACTACATGTTAAATGAGGAACTTTTTTCTTCAACACTGAATAGTGAGAAATAACTCAGAAAAAAGAAATACAGGCATGTACTTAAAGGTTAAAGCATAATCATTTTTTAATAAAGCTGTTAGAAATCTAGAATGTATTTCAGAGAAAATTAATGATCAAAAGGGCAGTTTAAGAGATAGTTAACAGGTTGTAAAAGGTGAGCATAGGTACAAATTTAGCTACAGAGAGCAAGAAAAAAGTATCAATAGTTAGCTTTCTATTCTTCTCTAAAACACTAAAGACAAAGTTTCCCAATATGCAATAAAACAAATGTCTGTTAACATGCATTCTTAACTCTACATGCAAGCACCCAAACTATAGGATTAGATAGCCTTTGTTAAATCCTCCTTTTTGTGGAATGCCTAGGCCTCAAATATCCTTCCCCTCATTTTATCTTTTATGAAAAGAAATTCTTCCAACCCAGGCTCATTTATTATAAAAAGAACAAACAAACAAAAAACCAACAATGATGTATTCCTATAACAAAAGAATGCTTCCTCTAATCAACTCCTTCCTCACAAGTCATAATGGTCTTTTCTTATTTTCTCTTCTCATTTTGTATAGCATTAAGTGTGGGACTCATAGCCCACTACTAACACAAAATGTAAAGAACAGTCAGTGTGACTTATGAAAATATAAAAAAGTAGATAAAAAAAACAAAACATCAACTTCTAAATAAATATGGAATACCTGAATCTAGAAAGGAGGAACTTTCTTCTGAGTAATTAATAAGTAATTTACTAATGAGAAAATTTACTAAATAGAAAAGTAATTCATTTGGAAAAATAAGATCTCAACTTCAGAAATGCAAGACTAACTCAAATCTAGCAACTTCATGCGTCTGTTAGGATGCGCATTTGCATGCAAAAATGGTTTAAGGAGGGTGGCATGCCAAACTTAGCATAGAACTATTTCTCTTAAAAGTCTTACTTGCCTACACAGTAATGGAGGCTACAGAAGTCAGCAAAGCTTCCAACACCATAAAAGTTTAAATCAGCTATTAGTGGAAGTGAAGAGGAAAAAGGAAAAATAAACTAAGAAAAATACATACAGACAGACTTTAGTAAGAAATTCTAAGATCTACAACATGAATAAACAATGGAGATTATTGGGATAGTTCCTCTCTAATAATTCATTTATAGTAAGAAAAACTGCACTGTAAAATCACATTTGGAAGAAAATCATTATAAAGAACAGTTCTCTCAAGTTTGTGAAGAAGTTTAATCACAAGTTTTAGCTTCTCGATTTTGATTAGTAGACACAAGATTAATATTTAAATCCTTGAACTCTCACCATGATAAAAAACGATGGTGATGCTAGTTCTACCATAATATGTAATAGAGATCTGTGTGGAAATACAACCCATCAATCTGAGTGTTCACTTGTTGATGTCTCTTTGAGTACACTCTGACTTAAATTTACAAGTATAATGAAACCTTTTTTAAGCATATTGAGAGATGACCCAGATATTTCTAGATGATTGTTTTTGGCCACTACTGGGCTTGACCTCAGCATCTTGATCATTTCGTTTTTTCACTAGGCACTCTACCACTTGAGCCACACCTCCACTTTCAGCTTTTGGCTAGTTAATTGAAATGAGTATCTTAGATTTGTCTGTCTGGACTAGCTTCAAATTATGATTCTCAGATCTCAGCCTTCTTAGAAGCTCTGATTATAGTCATGGACCAATGGTATCCAGCTTCTAGCTGATTTCTAAATGTTGTAAGATAACATGCAACAAATATATTTCCATATAAAAGAATATTATATACCTAATACATTATAATTTTTTCTTATTATTAGCATATTCAGTTTTATGTGGAGAGGTTCCCACACTAAATTATAATTCCACACTAAATTATATTTTTCTTGACTTTCCTGAGAAAGTCAAGAAACTTTCAGGAAATTCTGAGTAAATCGGTCTCATTTAAATGGATAGTAACATTACAGTTATAACAGGAGAAACAAACACTGGAATATAGTATTTTAAAATAAATGATAAGAACACATGATCAAGTTTAAAAATAAATATTTTAAAAGGTTTTACCCGCATCATTTCATTCTCTAATTGTTTTTTACGATGGAGTCGTTGCTGATGAGATTTGAGGACATTTTCTACATGTTGCTCCATAAAAAATTTAAACGCCTGGGGAGAATAACTCTGAATACGAGATTCCCTTCGTTCTTCATCTTTCTTGTTTTTCCGCACAGTGATAGGTGAGGTTGTAATCTGTTTCTTTTCTTTATCTCCATTATCATTTTCAAAATTCTTCTCACCCTCATCTTCCTTGGGCGAGCCAGTCTGGTCCTCTTTGCAAGATTTATTTATTGACTCATATGGAGGAACAGATGGATTTTGGTGTAGTAAGTGTTTTGGATAAGGTGGTGGTGGACCTTGATAATTTGGTGCTTCAGCAACAGATGGCTTAACCGTTATACTTGAAGTGGTACCCTCAGAAAAAGGGCTAGGTTGAACAGTTTGAATTGGTTGTGGCATCCAGGAAGGATGGGTAGGTGCTAAAGCAGTTTGTAGTTCTGGTTTTAATACACGCATGCTTTTCACGGGCTGTTGAATAGGAGCTGGTGTGATTGCAGTGACTGTTGTAGCTGAAGGCTGAGAATTGGCAGAGTGACTTGTTCTATTTCCTAATGGGTTATTAAAAGAATTTGACCTCACTGGTATGTTAGGTTGCCATGTAGGAATCTCATGCCCACTGCTGGGGGATGACTGGGCAGGAGCAGATGATGACTGAGGCCAAGTTGTTTGTAGTCCAGGTACGTTAATGTTATACAGTTCCATGTTATGACTATTTCTATTTGGCACCATCATAGATTGAGGAATATTTCCATTAGTATATGATGAAGGAGCAGCAGATCCTCCTGTTTGTAAAGCGCAAGGGCTTTGTCCATTAGCTGGGGCCAGAGGATATGGAGGGGGTGGCTGCCGATTAACAGGGACAGCAGGAGCAACATTCTGGTGTATCATAAAGTCAGTTTGACCACCATTCTGGATTCCAGGTCTCACAGGTGGAAAGTTGTATTTGTTAGAACTCTGCATGATGATTGGTTGTCTGCCAACAGGAACAGAATTAATGCCTCTCTGTCCCTGATTAGGAGGATTCATGGGAGAAGCGGTCAGAGGTGGTGGAGGATAGCTCTCCTGCCATGCCCCAGGTGGAACAGGGGAAATTCGAGAGATCACATATTCCATATTCCCAGAATAGCGCTTTGTCTGAGAGTTTGGTTCCCATGCAGAGGGAGGTGGAGTTGTACCTCGTGGAGGGGGAGTCTGGCCTCTTGGGGGCGGTGGAGGAGTGACACTCCTTACTTGAGGTGGTGGTGGTGGGTTCACTCTTTGACCATTACTTGGGTGAGCTTGAACAAATGCTGTAATACCAGATCCAGACAAGGGTCTTCCTGCATCTGTCTGTGAGTTGGGACTTTCAGAACGATAGGCCACGTTTTCTCCTAGAGGCTGGCCATGTCTCTGAGGAACTAAGGACTCTTTAGAACCTTTCCAGCTTTGTTTGCGGTTAATTGAATGTTGTACACTCCCTATGGTGATAAAAGAGAGAAAAATCATGTTTTTAAACACTTCTTTTTGAAAAATTCAGCTTAGACCTCTGATACTACTAAGTTGTAATTCCCTTTCAAGAACTGTAAGAATAGGAATATGTTCAAGAGACTCACTGTACAACAAGTTGACTATGGTTAATAATAATATATTCTTAAAAACTTCTAAGAAAGTAGACTGGTTGATTTTGAGACAGGATCTTGTTATGTAGTCTAGGCAGGCCTCAAACTCATTATCCTCCAACCTAGTCTCCTAAATGCTAAGATTTTGTTCTATATTCCATCACACATGGTTCTAAAGGAGTAAATTATTATCATCATTAGTGTGTGTGTGTGTGTATGTGTGTGTTGGTCCTGGGACTTATGCTCAGGGTTTGGCTGCTGTCCCTAACCTTTTTTTTGCTCCAGGATAGCACTCTACTACTTGAGCCACAGTTCCACTCCCTGCTTTTATTTAGTAGTTTATTAGAGATGAGTCTCATGGACTTTCCTGCCCAGGCTGGTTACCATCTGCCACCCTCAGTCTCAGCTTCTTGAATAGTAGATTTTTCTTTCCTGGTCCTGGGGCTTGAACTCAGGGACTGAGTGCTGTCCTTGATCTTTTGTGTTCAAGGCTAGCACTCTACCACTTGATCCTCAGCTCCACTTCTGGGTTTTTGGTGGTTAAATGGAGATAAAGAACCACATGAACTTTCCTGTATCTTCAGGTCTCAGCTTCCTGAGTAGCTAGGATTAGAGGCATGATATATCATTGCTCAGCAGGAGAGTGTGTTTTTAACTGTGTATCCCACCCAAAGTGAAATGATATGTGTTAACTAACCTTATTTAGGGCAAAAGCAAAAAAAGTATAAAAAATGAGTTTTGAGTAAACAGTTTTACTTTTCCAACTTCTTTTTTTTTTTGTCGGTCATGGGTCTTGAACTTGGGCTTGGGTGCTGTCCCTCAGCTCTTCAGCTCAAGGCAAGCGCTCTACTGCTTGAGCCACAGCACCACTTCCAGTTTTCTGAGTGGTTTATTGGGCATAAGAGTTTCATGGACTTTCCTACCCAGGCTGGCTTTGAACCACGGATTCTTACATCTCAGCCTACTGAGTAGCTAGGATTACAGGCATGAGCCACTGGTGCCCAGCTTTTCCAACTTATTCTTGACTACGTAATAGATGTTCATAGCTCAAATCTACAAAACAAATAAGGTCCCTTAATTTATCATTTTCCTTCCTTGTCATTAGTGAAATATGAGATATACAAGTTAGATATATATTTTCTATAGATAATATTGTGCCTGATATTGTTTGTTCCTATTTATTTATGTCAGTCATGGTGCCTGACTCAGGACCAGGGCCCTGTCCCTGAGCTTTTTTGCTCAAAGTTAGTGTTCTACTACTTTTAGCAACAGTTCCACTTCACGTTTTCTGGTGGTTAATTGGAGAAAAAAGTCTCACAGACTTTCCTGCCCCTTCTGGCTTTGAATTGAGATCCTCAGATCTCAGCCTCCTGAGTAGTTAGGATTAGAGATGTTACCACCAGCACCTGGCATGCTGTTAGCAATTTCTAAGAGGAAAGATTTGATATAGTCAAGTGTTGTACAACTATACTGCAAGAGATTAGAGAAAAAGTGTTTGATGAATCACCTGTTTTCAAGCTGGCATTAACAGGTCTGGCAGCTGCTGCAGCCATCTGCTCCCGTCGAGGATCTTGATAACTCATTTTACTAATGAATTCAATTGCTGCTTCTATACTTCTGTTATTAGTTTTTTGAAGAGCTTGCATAACCATATCCTGATATGAAGTTTGAACAAGATACAAAATTTAAACAATACCATTAGTATGCATAAACTTAAAAGAAATTCATAATGAAGAATGAGTCCTCAAACCACCATATTAACATCATGTTTATAACCACCACAAACAAAAACAAATTAAAAAAAATAAATCTCAAACTACTAAAGAAACCAAAAACCCTGAAATGATTTAGTTCCTTTAATATTCTCAGATTTATGTAACATTACATTTTTTTTTTCATGGGGCCTGAACTCTGGGCCTGGGCGCTGTCCTCAGCTCTTCAGCTCAAGGCTAGCACTCCGCCACTTGAGCTACAGCTCCACTTCCGGCTTTTTTTTTTTTCCTGCTTATGTGGTGCTGAGGAATCGAACCCAGGGCCTCATGCATGCAAGGCAAGTGCTCTACCACTGAGCTACCTTCCCAGCCCCACATTACATTCTTAACTTCATTCTTATATAAACAAAAATTATCAGATTGTTAAAATAAAACAAAAACTTAGCCAGGTACTAGTGGCTCACGTCTGTAGTCCTAGCTACTCAGGAGGCTGAGATCTAAGGATCGCAGTTCAAAGTCAGCTCAGGCAGGAAAGTCCATGAGACTCATCTCCAATTAACCAACAAAAAACTAGAAGTGGTGCTGTGTCTCAAGAGAATCATGGTTCAAGGAAAACCCAGGCAAAAAGCTCACAAGACCTCCTCATCTCAACCAATAAAAAGCTGGTATATATGGTGGTGTGCACCTGTCATTCCAACTACACAGGAAATAAATAGAAAGAATGAAGACCAGCAAAGTCCATGTTAAAAGTGAGACTTTATCTGAAAAATAACGATGGCAAGAAGGGCTGGAGACACTGCAGAGTGCAAGATTTCATACCCAAGTACTATCCCCTCTCCAAATAAAAACCCAGAACTGACTTTTAAAAAACTAAAACATATTATTAAGTATATTATCACTTATGCATACCAGGAAAAGAGCTATACAGTTCTGGATTTTTTTTTTTTTTTGAGTGGTAGGGAGTTCTGGTACTGGGGCCTGACCTCAGGGCCGAAAGCATTGTCCCTTAGCAGTTTTGCTCAAAGCTGGCATTCTACCATAGCTCCACTACCAGCTGTTGGTGGTTAATTAAAAACAAAAGTCTCACACTGGGCACTGGTGGCTCACGCCTGTAATCCTAGCTACTCAGGAGACAGAGATCTGAGGATCGCAGTTCAAAGCCAGCCAGGGCAGGAAAGTCTGTGAGACTCTTATCTCTAATAAACCACCAGATAAACAGAAGTGACGCTGTGGACAGCACCCAGACCCAGAGTTCAAGCCCCACAACCGATAAAATACATACATACATACATACATATATACACACACACATACATACACATACAAACAAAAGTCTTTGCCGGCTCTGGTGGCTCATACCTGTAATCCTAGCTCAGGAGGCTGAGATCTGAGGACTGCAGTTCAAAGCCAGCCTGGGCAGGAAAGTCTGTGTGACTCATCACCAATAAATCACCAGAAAGCTGGAAGTGGCGCTGTCACACACACACACACACACACACACACACACACACACACACACACACACACACACACACACACACACACACACACACACACACACACACACACACACACACACACACACACGTACGTCTCATGGACTTCTCTGCCTGGACTGGCTTCCAACCATGATCCTCAGATACTTCTAAATAGCTACGATTACATGTGTGAGCCACCACATTTCTGGAAACCCTTATTCAGGGACATATATACATGAAAAATAGTGGGGGAAAAATACTCAGATTGATATAATTTTGTGATCCAGACTTTAAGAGGTTAGATAGTATGGTGGAACTAAGAGAATTTGGAATCATTCTCACCCAAGGTTGAGTTCCAGAAACTCCACTTTAAAACTGTGTGAACTTTGATAAGTTATTTTACATTTCAGATCCTCAGTTTCTTCAACTGAGGCTAGGTGTTTGAAATTTATGTGAGTATAAAATGCAAAAACATGTAAAGTATATAAATACAGCTCCTGGAGTTCAAATGCTAGCTATCTTCCTCTACCCCTTATCCTCTATGTTAAATGTAATAATAAAATTATACACTACTATGCAAAGAGTACACAGACAAACACTCTACAAGAGGGAAGCAACTACTTTGTCCTAGAGGATTTTTTTTTTTTGTCGGTCGTGGGGCTTGAACTCTGGGCTTGGGCGCTGTCCTTGTGCTCTTCAGCTCAAGGAGAGTGCTCTACTGCTTGAGCCACAGCACCACTTCTGGTTTTCTAGCGGTTTCTTGGAGATAAGAGTCTCATGAACCTTCCTGCTCGGGCTGGCTTTGAACCAAGATCCTCAGATCTCAGCCTCCTGAGTAGCTAGGATTATAGATGTGAGCCACCGGCACCCGGCTATCCTAGAGGACTTTATTTCACTTAAAAATGAGAAATGGGGCTGGGCAAGTGGCTCAGTGATACAGTGCTTGCCTTGCATGCATGAGGGTTTGATTCTTCAGCACCACATAAACAGAAAAAGGCAGCAGTGGCGCTGTGGCTCAAGTGGTAGAGCACTAGCCTTGAGCTGAGGAGCTCAGGGACAGCACCCAGGCCCAGAATTCAGGCCCTACAACTGACCAAAAAAATAAACAAATAAAAATGAGAAATGGCTTAGAAAAGGTGACATGGTAATAGGCTAATAACATGATTATCCTATTAAAAAAAAAAAAAAAAAAAAACAACTGAAGATGACATGAAACTAACCACATAAAGGGTGAGTTAGGAACCTGTTGCCCACCCAAGGTCCTTTCCCTTTCTTGAAAAAGTTACTGATCTTAATGATGCATGTTTTCTCTCATATGTGGAAATTAGATCTAATATACAAATATACATGATAACATATACACACAAGCAAATTCATTTAAAGATGGTATAGGTAGGAGAGGAGTCCAACAGTGTAACTCCTTTGAACAACCAACAAACTGCTCAACAAAATGACTATATATAGAAAGCTGAAGTATGTTTGGGGTAGAGATTAACAAGAGGGCCAACCTGGGCTACACATTGTTCAAGTCTGGGGTACATAAGAAAACTGCCTCCAACAACCATAAAAAAAGGAAGCAGTGGCCTTGAACGTGACACAGCTAATAAAGGACTAACTTAGGATTTATAAAATGCTAAAAACAATTATATGAAAGACATTTAACATCTGAGTTCAAGCCTCAGTACCAAAGGCATGAACGAATGAATGTTCTTGGTGTGTACAAGCTTCAAAATAAAGGGTGAACCACTTGAGCATGGGCTCGCCTAATAAGTATAATGTACCACAGGTTAAGAAACTTTTCTGGGTTTTTTAAAGTTCTTACCTCATCAAATCCAGCAGCCTGCAAATCTTGAAACATCTGTGGATTAACTTCTGAAGTACCCCTGGAAGAAGAACTTGTTTCATTTGCAAATGGGAGCAGAGAATTTCGGATTTCTTGTAAGGCTTTATGATGTGTCCCAAATTTGGGTGGGTTTCTCACTTGTCGAGGATCTTCAGTTGACATTTTGCTAACATTATGTTCAGCTTTAGCAGCATCAGATGGCTTGGATAAATTCCTAAGGGATTCCCGAATTTCTTGCAACATTTGTCGGCTACTGCCAGTGTAGTTACTGGCAGGAAAGGTCTTAGGCCTCATTTGTCTATATCCCTCTGGCTTTTCACTCCTCTTCATGAAAACATCTATATATGTGACCCACACAGCAGATTTCTGTGAATGCTTCTTGAAAGATTTAGAGCTTCTCCTTGAGCAAAAGTGAAAATGATCCTTTGATAAAGTTCACAGGAATGTTAAAGTTCTTTATAAGCCAAATAACCCTAAAAAAGAAAATTAATAAAACTATAAAGTCCTTTTCAAATTAGAATATTAATTATTTCCAGAAAGGATTGGCTATGCTCAGGCTACCCTTGATTTTTAATCTTCCCACCTCAACCACCACCAGACTAGTTATGATACAGTTCTATCTAAATATACTGTCATGAAGAGATACTACAAGGTATTGTTAAGCCAAAATTCAAAAACTAAAAACTAGAAGAGCAAGTTACAAAAATTCTGTAGAGTTAGGCATGGTAGTGCATGCTTGTAATCCCAGCATGGGGAAGCTGAAGTGGGAGACCATGAGTTCAAAGCCAGGCTGAACTACCTAGTAAATTCAAGGATAGTCTGGGATACACAGAACCTATCTCAAAGTACCAAAAACTAGGTATAAAATGAACCCATTTTCTGTTCTAAAACTATAGTGATGGCTGTGCAGCTCTGTAAATAAGCTAGAAAATACCAAAATACATACCTAAAATGGGTAAAATTCAGATATATGAATCATATTTTAAAAGTTAAAGCAAGTTTATTATTGCAATAAGTATGTAACATAAAATGTCTTCCCCTCCCTTTTCTTTTTCTTGCCATGTAGCCTAGACTTGTGCTTCAGACTTCCATGTGGCTAGTATGACAGGTGTGTGCCATGAAACACAGCTTGAAATTTGCCCCTGCCCTACACATACTTCTTGTGCTGGTCCTGGGGCTTGAACTCAGGCTTATGTGTTGTCCCTGAGCGTTTTTGCTGAACACTGGCACTCTACTATGAGCCACAGCTCACAGACTTTCCTGCCCAGGCTAGTTTTGAACCACCATCCTTGGAGGCTGAGATCTGAAGATAGTGGTTAAAAGTCAGCCTGAGGGCTGGGAAGGTGGCTCAGTGGTAGAGCGCTTGCCTTGCATGCATGAGGCCCTGTGTTCGATTCCTCAGCACCACATAAGCAAAAAGAAAAAAGCCAGAAGTGGCGCTGTGGCTCAAGTGGTAGAGCGCTAGCCTTGAAGAGCTGAGGGACAGTGCCCAGGCCCAGAGTTCAGGCCCCGCGACTGGACCAAAAAAAAAAGTCAGCCTGAGCTTTTGGAAAAGTGTGTGAGATTCTTTTTTTTCTTTTTTTTTGGGTCCGGTTGTGGGGCCTGAACTCTGGGCTTGGGCACTGTCCCTCAGCTCTTCAGCTCAAGGCTAGGGCTCTACCACTTGAGCCACAGCGCCACTCCTGGCTTTTTTCTTATGTGGTGCTGAGGAATCGAACCCAGGGCCTCAGGCATGCAAGGTATGCCTACTCTACCACTGAGCCACCTTCCCAGCCCAAGTGAGTGAGATTCTTATCTCCAATTAACCACCAAAAAACCATAGTGGAAGTGTGGCTCACATAGTAGATTGCCAGTATTGAGTGAAAAAGCTAAGGGACAGTGCCCAAATCCTGAGTTCAAGCCCCATTACTGGCATGAGAGAGTTACAGAGACAAGAGACAGAGACAGAAAATGTAAAGTAACAGAAGGGGAAGCAATGTAGTAATGGAGGCAGAGATGGCAATGATGTGGCCAGAAGCCAAGGAATGCTAGATTAACAGAAGCTGTAAACAGTTTAGGATCTCCTAGTGCCTTTAGGCTTCTGGAGAGAGATTAGCCTTGCTGATATCTTTATTTTTTATTTCTGGCTTCAATAACTCTAAGAGGATTACCACCAAATTTGGAATTAGTTGTTACATAAGTCACAAAATACTAATGTAATACAATCACTATCAATTCTGAATATTCTAATATACTTTTACATAATGATGTACATTACATAAATGTATGTAGTATTGCCCAAAGTTACCTTACTTAACCTTTTATTCTCCAGAAAACCTTTCTCTTCTCTTCTTTTCTTTTTTTTTCTTTCAGTGCTAGTCCAAGGGCTTGAACTTCAGGGCCTGGGCACTGTCCCTGAGCTGCTTCTGCTCAAGGCTAGCACTCTACCACTTGAGCCATAGCTTCATTTCTGGGATTTTGATGGTTAATTGGAGATAAGAGTTTTACAGACTCTACTGGCCTGGCTGGCTTCAAACCTCAATCTTCAGATCTCTGCCCCCTGAGTAAGCTAGGATTACCAGCATAAGCCACTGGTACCCAGTTCAAAATACTTTCCATTTTGGCAGTAACAAGGTTCCAACTCAGGGTCTTGCACCTGCTCTTGATCTGCTTAGGCTACATCGCCAGCCCTTTTTACTTATTTTTCAGATACCCAGTTCTGAGCTGAGGCAGCTTAGAAGCTTCAGTGCTTCCCTAACTCTTTCCAGCTCAGATGACAATGCAGGTCATGTTTTGAGATGGTAGCTTTGTAACACAGAAAGAATATGGATCTCTAAGCCACTGGATAAAGACTCTACTTACACCCACAGCTCTTTATGTGACAGAAAGATTGTTACAGCAGGGTTTTGATAGGCAATGTCTTTTAGAGACATCTGCATTAAAGCCTAGGTCCCTCATTGGTGGTACTATTTCTAGGAAACTTCAAGAGATGGGTGAAGTGACACTGTGGTTCAAAGTGGTAGAGCACTAGCCTTAAGCCAAAAAAGATTAGGAAGAGGGCCCAGGCCCTGAGTTCAAACCCCAAGCCCCAAAATGGACGAGAGAGAGAGAGAGAGAGAGAGAGAGAGAGAGAGAGAGAGAGAGAGAGAGAGAGAGAGAAGGGGGTTTCAGGACACTTTAAAAAGTGGAGGCCTAGCTAGAGGAAGTAGGTTACTGGGGAGAGTGCCATGGGAACTACATCTTGCTCTAAATCCTTTCTTTGTATCTTTCTCTATCTCTGTCTCTTTCTGATTCTGGCTGGGCTATATTGTGAAACCATCCTTAAAAAAACAAAGCGAGGAGCTGGGAATGTGGCTTAGTGGTAAAGTGCTTGTCTAGCATGCACGAAGCCCTTGGTTCAATTCCTCAGTACCACATAAACAGAAAAAGTCAGAAGTGGAGCTGTGGCTCAAGTGGTAGTGTGCTAGCCTTGAGCAAAAGAAGCTCAGGGACAGTACCCATGCCCTGTGTTCAAGCCCCAGGCCTGGCAAAAACCAAAAACAAAATTAGGCTGGTGTCAGTAGCTTATACCTATAATCTTAGCTACTCAAGAGGCTGAGATCTGAGGATTCCAATTCAAAACCAGCCTAGACAGGAAAGTCTGTGAGACTCTTATCTTTAATTACCCACCAAAAACTGGAAGTGAAACAACTCAAAGTGGTAGAGCACTAGCCTTGACCGGAAAAGCTCAAGGACTGTGTGCCCAGGTCCTGAGTTCAAGTCCCAAACTGACAAAAAGAAAGAAAGAAAGAAGAAAGAAAGAGAGAGAAAAAGAAAAAAAAGAACAAACAAACAAACAGTGTATGCATTATGTAGCTCAGTGGATATGACAAACATGTTTAAAGTCTATGCATCCTGAGCATTTGCTGGTTTTCCTCAGTGGTGGTTTCCTTCCAACCATAAACTTGCAAATACTAAGGATCTACTGTGTTTACTATACTAGACTTTCTTTTTTTTGGTTGGTTGTGGGGCCTGAACTCTGGGCCTGGGCACTGTCCCTCAGCTCTTCAGCTCAAGGCTAGTGCTCTACCACTTGAGCCACAGCGCCACTTCCAGCTTTTTTTTTCTGCATATGTGGTACTGAGGCATTGAACCCAGGGACTCATGCATGCAAGGCAAGCACTCTACCACTGAGCCACCTTCCCAGCCCTAGACTTCTTAATAGTCAGAGCATATTCCAACTTAGTAGTAAAGATAAACATTGTAGTAGAGGGCTGGGAATGTGGCCTAAACAGAAAAAGCCAGACGTGGTGCTGTGCCTCAAGTGGTAGATGTTAGCCTTAAGCAAAAGAAGCTCAGGGACAGTGCCCAAGCCCTGAGTTCAAGCCCTGGGACTGACAAAAAAAAAAAAAAAGAATGTAGTTGAATGGTTGTAAATTGCACTGTAAACCTATAGAATAGGAGGACTGTGGACCATAACTCTAGGCCAGCCTGGGCAAGAAGCTCACAAGACTCCTTCTCAACCAATAGCTGGGTACATTGGTACATGTCAGTCAACCCAAGCTATATAGGAGGCTGAGATTGGAGGATCCAGGTTCCAAGACAGCCTAGATAGAAAAAGTCTTCAAGACTAGTTTCTCAGATGGGCACCTGGACAGGAAGTGAGATCCTCTCTTAAAAATAACCAATGAAAAATAGCTGGAGGTGTGGCTTAGTAGTACCAGCCCAGCAACTATGAAAGATCTATATTCAAACTCCAATGCCATCAAAAATCATTATACCAAGTTATGCCACAGGAGTTTCATACCTTTTATGAACTATATCTCTTGATTATATACAGTACTATGAGTGATGGTTTGTGTAAATACACTCCCATGAGGACCATACAATGATGGGACTGCCTAATGATACATTTTCCTGAACAATATCAACTGGTAAAGTGGCACATGAATTTATTATAAGTAAACAAAGTGTCAAAAAAGCAGCAGCTAAGATGAAAGCAGAAATTGAAGAGAAAGAGTTCAGATATTTAGTCATTTTCAAGTTCAGAAAGTAGTGCTTCTATATTACAAGCAGGGAGATATTAGGATTACAGAACATCAGGATTACAAAATGCTGAAAACCACTGAAATATCAAAGCTAAGAAAATGCCATAGGCAGGACTTTAGTGGCCCATGACTATAATCCTAGTTACTCAGAAGGCTTGAGATCCAGAGGATCATGATTTGAAGTCACCAAGGCAGAAAAATCTATGAGATTCCATCTCTAAAATAACCATCAATAAGCTGAGCTAGAGGTATGGCTCAAGTGGTAGAACACCAGGTACCTGAGCATGCAAGCCAAGAAAATGTGAGGTTCAGAGTTAAAACCCCAGGAGACAGAGGGACTGAAGAGAGGGAGAAGGAGAGTGAGAGGGGAGAGAAAAATGAAGATAGTGCTTCAGAGGTAAAGATCACATTAATACCCTTCCCATTAGAGAAAAAGAAGAGTGGAGGCTGTATAATTCTCAGATAAGGTTACTAATGTATGTGATCTTTGGTTGTGATTATCAACACAAGAAATGATTGGTGACAGTAAAATCAAGAGCTTAGTAACTTCGAGGAAGTGGTTTTGTTTAATTAAAAAAAAAAAAAACTTTAAATATTCAACTATTTAATCTTTTTTTTTTTCTGCCAGCCCTGAGGCTTGAACTCTGGGCCTGAGCACTGTCCCTGAGCTTTTGTGCTCAAGGCTAGCATTCCACCACTTGAATCACAGCTCTGTGTCTGGCTTTTTTGTGGTTAACTGGAGTAAAGAGTCTCATGGACTTTTCTGCCCAGGCTGGATTTAAACTGTGATCCTCAGATCTCAGCTTCCTGAGTAGCTAGGATTACAGGTATGAGCCAGGACATCCAGCTGGCCATTCAATCTTTAAGCCCACCCCCACCCCTACCCCCACCCACCAGGAGCAATAAGTGTAATGCTTATGATAAATTCCTAAAAGTGAAATTGCTCAGTCAATAAGAATGTATATGATTGGAGGTATATAGATCAGTGGTGGAGAAGCATAAGACCCTGGGTTTGATCCCCAGCAATGAAAAAAAATTTTTTTTAAAAACCAAATCCCTCATACATTTCACACACAAACCCTATAGATGTGCATATATAGATGACACATGTGCATATATGAAGAAAATACATAGTTTTGATATTTATTGTTAGGTATTCTAGTTCATATTCATTTCAACAAAGTATGACCAACAATGGCATTATCACTTGTTTCTTTTTTGACAGTACTGGGGTTTGAATTCAAGATTTCAAGCTTTCTTGGCTTGCTCAGCTGGTGCTTTACCACTTGAGTTACGCTTCTAACACTGCTTTTTGGCCAGTTATTTTGGAGATGGAGCCCCTGACGACTTTTCTGCCTCTGCTGGCTAAGGGAGAATACCCTAGTTCTAAGTTCTAACCCCAGTACTTGGGCACTCACTCACCCTCCTAAAATTTTTTTCTGTAAAAAATATATTGCAGCATTGGTGGCTCATGCCTGTAATCCTAACTACTCAGGAGGCTGAGATCTGAGGATCACAGTTCAAAGGCAACCCAGGAAGGGCAGGAAAGTTCGTGAGACTCTTACCTCTAATTAACCACTAGAAAACCAGAAGTAGTGCTGTGGCACAAGTGGTAGAGTACTCTCCTTGAGCTGAAGAGCTCAGGGACAGTGCCCAGGCCCAGAGTTCAAGTCCCATAACCAACAAACAAACAAACAAAAAAATTGCACCATTACATAATAAGATTTCAAAGTATTACCTTGGATTGAATCGAATGAAACTTAATAAAAAGGTGGCTTGATTCAATGCTTTGACCACATCAGTTGTGAGAATAAATTATGTGTTTGTTTCTTAGTAGTACAGTACAGCCTTAATTTTTTTTTTCTTTTTGTTGGTCATGGGGCTTAAACTCTAGGCCTGGGTGCTGTCCCTCAGCTCTTCAGCTCAAGGCAAGCGCTCTACCACTTGAGCCACAGTGCCACCTCCAGTTTTCTGAGTGGTTTATTGGACATAAGAGTCTCGCAGAGTTTCCTGCCCAGGCTAGCTTTGAACCACAATCCTCAGATCTCAGCCTCCTGAGTAGCTAGGATTATAGGCATGAGCCACAGAGGCCCCACTCCAGCCTAATTCTTCAGAATACAATATTTACAATTTGTACACAATGACATTTTTTGCATTTATTTTCTAAGAATTAACTGATCAAAAGTGAAAAAAGCTGAATCTGATGGCACATGCTTACAATCCCAGCAACTCAGAGGGCTGAAGCAGCAGGATGTCAGGTTTGAGGTCAGTCTGGGCCTCAAACTAAGCAAGACTTTGTCTTAAAAAAATAAATAAATAAATAAAAATCCAGGGGCTCTATATAGCTCAGTGATATAGCACTTGGCTAGTATGCAGGAGGTCCCGAGTTCAATCTACAATATTGGAGGGAAGTTAATGGGGGGGGGGGGGGGGAAGGGGAGGAGAGAAGCAATCATTTTTTATCTTTATGTTGAAAAATGACCATTTCTACCAACAGTGTTGTTCAATGACTAGTCACCAATGCACACAAATTGTCCTCTAATATAAACATCACATCTAAAAAAAAGCTCCCCCCCCCCCCCAAAAAAAACCCAACCAGATTAAGAACTATTCCAAGGCTATATGTATGCAGAATAACAAGGACTAACGTTAGAAACAAACACTGACCCTGCAGAATGAAAGCCAGGTATGACACATAAAAAACAAGGTAGCAGAAGTATTTTGTAAGTATTTTGGAGAGCAGCTAGGCACAATCAATCAATAGGCACAGAAAGAATGTGCCTTTCCCAACCTGTACCACGATCTAGTTTCTTGCCAAAGCAGCCGGTCAGAGGAATACAATGCTACTTCTTTTACTGCAAAATCAGTCAAATTCCTCCACAGCCCCAGGGAATCAACTAACCTGTTTTTTACCTGACTGTATACTTAAAGGTTAAGAAACAAGCTTAGGTAAGATACCCACAAATGCAGGTATCTTAGCAGAGATAGGTATCTAACATTCATTCCAAGCATAATGTCCTACCTCTTCTTCCTCAAAGGGGAAAACTGACACAATTTAACTTTCAACCAATAGTCCATAAAAGTCTAACAAGTTTCACTATCTCAATCATTCAAATCCATTTCCAAAACTGGAGTGACACTTTACCAGAGATCACACTCGGCTCACTTCAAAGAGAAACTTCTAGTACACATTCTAAAGGCCATATTTGACATATGAATGGATATTCAATTCTGTTCCCTTACAAAATGACTTTCGATTGAAGAAGTCATAGAATGAAGGTAAAGTCGCCCAAGAGTCATCCAAGTTCTTTTTCAAGTTACAGTGAACAACGTGCCTGTAATTCTTTCCTTCTCTTATTTACCTACACGTAGCCCACAAAGACACGTCTATTTCTCCCACCCCAACACCACGGAGGACTGGAAAGAGGGACTTCCCTGGAGATCATCGCAGTTACGCCCAGGACCCAGGCCACATTTGGGCGATCCCAAGGACTGCAGTTCTTTTTCTGCAATTTTCCTTCCGAGCGGCCTTTTCCCTTTCCTCCCCTCAGGACAGGCTGGGGGGGGGGGGGGGGGGGAGGCGGACCGCAGTCGCAAGGCCGCCAGCGAGGCAGACTTTCCGGCGAGTGCCCGGCACGTCCGAGGCCCAAGAGCCTGGGGCTGTTCCTGCGGCCCGGGCGCGGCCCACCTCCACTTCCCCGGGGCAGGACTCAGCTGGGGTCACCGCCGCCGCGTCAGGCCCCGACCCGGCCGGCTCAGCACGCCCGTCCACTGCGGCCCCTGGACCCCCGCCAGCGGGGATGGGCGTGGGCCCCGGCGGCCACCGCCCTGCCGACTCCCGCTCGAAAAGGGAGAGCGAGCCCCACCCGCCCCGCCAGGTCCGGACCTACCTGCGGGGACAGCGGGGCTCCTGGACAGCGGCCACGGGCCCGAGGGCCGGCGCGGAGGCCGGTCCCAGAGCCCCGCACTTATCCCAGGGGGCTTCGGGAAGGGCTGGGCGGGGAGAGACGCCGGGGGCCGACCGCGGCCCTGCGCGGCCCGTCGCGGGGGTCGCGGGGACCGGGCTCTCCCCTTAGCACCAGGCCTCCGCCTCCGCCGCCATTTTGCCTTCCACTCCGTGTCGCCGCCGCCGCTGCCGCCGCCGCCGCACTCCGCTGCAGGATTCCCGGATGTGGGCATTTCCCGGCGTCGCTTGCGCGGGGGCCGAGGACTGGGGGCTTCGGGCCGCCAGGCTGAGGGGAGCCGGCGCCCCGTGTGCGGCCTCCGGCCCGAGCCGCTTGCCCGCTGTCCCCCGAGCGTGGTGGGCGTCGCCCCACGTCGCTCCCGCCCGCCGCCACCGACGTGTCTCGTCCGCGATCGCGGCCGAGGCTCTCCCCCGCCCCGACACGCGGCGTGTGCGAGGCGGTCCGCGAAGCCTTGTCTGTGGGGCGGCGAGGGCCGAGCGCCCCGCGCCCCGCCTGGCCGCGGACCCGGGACTCGGCTTAGGGCATAGCTATGCAAAGCTCAGCGCTCCCCGCGTCAGGCCCGCGAGCCGCGGACCGGCTGATACCCTCGGCTGGCCAGTGCAAAGGTCAGGCAGCAGAGTCCACCTCCGGAGTCCAAGGGCCATCCCCTGGAATCGCGGCCATGCGCGGGTTTCCTTCCTGCTAAGTTGGGAGCATTGGCTTTGCCCATCTTTTACTTTTAATGGGATGGGGGAGTACTGGAGACCAAGTCTCCCTGTAGCCCAGGTTGGCCCGACTGAAGACTAGGCTTTGACACTTGCCTATTTTGACACACACACATAGTAGGTTGGTATTAGATGTTTCCTTTTGTTAATTTTCTACTACAGCATGACTATAAAAATTAAATAAAATGCAATAAAACATTAAAGCTTACTTTTTCTGATGTTAAAAGATTACATGTTAGCCTGGGGCTGGGGCTCACACCTGTAATCTTAGTTTTTCAGGAGGTTGGGGCTCAGGGGATTGCAGTTCCAAGCCAGTCCAGGCAGAGAAGTGCAGGAAACTGTCTCTGATTAACCAGTAAAATGCTGGACTGGAAGTAGTGGAGCATAAGCCTTGAGAAACCAAGGGCTGGGAGTGGGGCTCAGTTCAAGCCTCAGCCCTAGTAAAATGTACATTGGCCTGCAGTTTTATCTTTAGGATATGGTTGTTGCTAACAACACTAAGGGTCTTTCTTTTTTCTTCAACTACATAAGTGAGTAACCTATAGGGACTCTTTCAGCCCTAAAACTCTGATACCTAAATCTAGAATGTTCTCAGACCTGCTTGTCCAGCCCAGAATTATGTTTGGAAGTGCATACTCCCAGAATTTTTTTATCTTGACTCACCAATCCATGGAATTTCTTCACTTAAAGCTCTTTAAAGAAAAGTATCTCTATGAACAATTGTCATTGTGGAAATGCCTAGACAATTCTGGGAGATTTACTGCTGTGAAGTAGAAGACAAGAACAAGGAAAGAAGAAATAATTTGCAGAGAAGTAGACAAAAAATGGGTGGGGATGGTGATGAAAGATCAGAGAAGCACTTACTGTGGGTAAAGTCTTGGGACTAACAACACTGGGCCTTTGCATTTGTAGATCTGTATTATTGTGATGGTCATCTTTCAACAGGTTTCTTTAGAAATTCTGAAGGAGCCAAGTCCTTTCCTATACAGATATGTGTGAGGAGCAAAAATGAACTTTATTAACTCCGGAGAAATGTGATCAAAGAATGCAGTGTGTAAAATGTAAGGATTAGTCAGGCTTTGCTGGCTCAGGCCTATAATCCTAGCTACTCAGGAAACAGATCTGAGGATGGAAGTTCAAAGCCACCCTGGGCAGGATAGAAAAGTCCATGAGACACTTATCTCTAAGCACCAGAAAAGCCAATGTTGAGCTGTGGCTCAAGTCATAAAGCATTAGCATTGTGCAACAAAGCTCAGTGACAGCACTCAAACCGAGTTCAAGCCCCAGGACCAGCGCCAAAAAAAAAAAAAAAAAAAGGAAATACCACCTAAAAATAGGAGACACTTGGGCTGGGAAGGTGGCTCAGTGGTAGAGCACTTGCCTTGCATGCCTGAGGCCCTGGGTTCAATTCCTCAGCACTACATAAGCAAAAAGAAAAAAGCCAGAAGTGGGACTGTGGCTCAAGTGTTAGAGTGCTAGCCTTGAGCTAAAGAGCTGAGGGACAGCGCCCAGGCCCCAAGTTCAGGCCCCATGACTGGCCAAAAAAAAAAATAGGAGTCACTCAAGAAAGGCTAGGAAAGCAAACTTGCCTAAAAGGTACTATTTGAAGACATTAGAAAGGCTTCTAGTAGGAAAAAAGACACTAAACATAGTTTTAAGCAGTAATATGACAGGAATTAAAATGTTTGTGGCCCCTGAGGTAAGTAAGACAAACAAAAGCAAATTTCAATTATAGTAAACTAATGAAAAGTCAGTAAAATACCTAGATAAAACATATAATACAGGGGCTGGGAAGGTGGCTCAGTGGTAGAGTGCTTGCCTTGCATGCTTGAGGCCCTGGGTTCGATTCCTCAGCACCACATAAGCAGAAAAAGCCGAAGTGGCGCTGTGGCTCAAGTAGCAGAACACTAGCTTTGAGCTGAAGAGCTCAGGGACAGTGCCCAGGCCGAGTTCAGGCAGCACAACCAACAACAACAAAAAAAACCATATAATACAAATTCAAATATAAACATAATTGGTGAGAAGTCAGGCTCACGTATAATATTTGTCTTTCGTCATCTGGCTTATTTTGCTTAATATTATTTTTTAGTTCTATCCATTTTCTTGCAAATGACATAATTTCATTCTTTATGGTTGAATAGTATTGTAGATATGTGAAAGAAACCAAGCAAGAGCATAGGTCCCTGAGTTAAGACGTAGTACTGGCACAAAAAAAAAAAAGAAAAAGAAAAAGAAAAAACACCAAGAACAATGCTGTAGGTCTGATAATATTATCCTTAAAATTGGGGGAGAGGAAAATTCCTCATCTACACACAATAAAAAGTCAAAAATGAAAATTTTATCTAGAATTTGCTGTAAAACAATCCAGAGCTGGGGTGAAGGGCGGGTAATATACACAGGGAATCATAGCAGCAGACATGAAGATTGGCTGTGTGTTGTTAACTAATGACGTACAAAGGTTCATTACATGACTTGGAATTACCCATCACACACATTTTCAGGGGCTAAATGTGGTCCTGCAGTAGGTGTGCTTAGCATACAAAAGGGCATAGGTTCAATCCCTGGAATTCCCTACTCCACAGAATTTCAAATGTATTACATCAATTCTCAATGTGATGATCATATGTAAAAGATGAAGCCGTAAAACAGAATTATGGCATTGATATTGCTATTTATTTATATAAAACTAGAGTAGGAATAGCATGGTGTAAAGAGCAGAAATCAGAGAAAGAAATCAATTGACATAACCATAAACAAAATTCCAACTTCCAAGAGACTCATAAGTCAAATGCTAAATTGAAAAGTACTTCATCAAATAGCCTAAGGCAAAATAAACAATGAAAATAACCCTTCAGATAAAAGGTGCTACAAATACTAAACTAATAAACTGTCTCAGAAAATGGCTTGTTTTAAAAGAAATATAACGAGTACAAAAAAAAAAAAAGAAATATAACGAATACAGCACTTACCAACAGTAGAGAAACTAGAAACACATGCCTAATGAATGGTAGGCAACATGGCACGTGTATGTTTAGCTATATCGTACAATATTAAGCAGTTCAAAGTGACAGGAGAGAAATCTATTGTTAGACAATTACATCTACAAAGATCACAACTATATTTTCATTTTTATTTAAAAATGTATGGGCTGAAGGTAGAGCTAACTCAGTGGTATTTTGTTGAGTATGCAAGAGGCCTTAAGCTCAACCCCAGCAATGCAGAAAAAAAAAAAAAAAAAATGTATAAACAGGGTGATGGGTAGAGAAGCATAAAAAGAATATTGTCTTTGGGTTATATGCTTTAAATACTGAAATTTTTTCTTTTGCCTATATTTCTTGTACTGAATGATTTTTGTCCTAATGTCTTAAAAAATTATCTCAGCAATAAATCTATACAGATTAAAATTTTTCATCTATTTTCTTTCCAAATTCTTTGGACATCATGAGTAATTATCTTTCTTTGAAGTTCATGAAGGGATGGGTGGGGATTGAACCCAGGTTCTTATGTACAGCAAGCATGTATTCTAATTATCACTGACATATATTCCAAGTCGAATTACTAAGCCTTTTTAATCAAGTATTTTGAGCTATGTAAATATTTTTAAAAAGCAGTATAAAAATATGAATATATTTTTAGTGCTTAAAGATTTTATTAAAGTTCTTAAACATTTCTGACATTTCAGACAGAATATTACATTTTAAAAGTGTTAACAAAAATATCCAAACTAAGCTGGGTGCTAGTGGCTCACACCTGTTAATCCTAGCTACTCAGGAGGCTGAGATTTGAGGATCACAGTTTCAAAGCCAACCCAGGGAAGAAAGTCCATAAGGTACTGAGAAAAAGCCAGAAATGGCACTGTAGCACTTTTGCTCAAGCACTAATCTTGAGCAAAAAAGAACTTAGGCCTTGAGTTCAAGCCCCAGGACCAACATAAAAAGAAAAAAAAGAGAGGAAGGGAGGAGAGAGGGAGAGAAAAGAGAAAAGGACTGACAATTATAACTCAAGAGTTAGAATAATGCCTACTAAATCTAGAGTTCAGTCCCCAGTACTGCATTAAAAAAAGAAAAAAATTAACAGTATTGAATGCCACTAGGGGGTGGCATACTCCAAATTACAAGAACTCATTGATGGTTTGACAGCTTTAAACACCACAACACCAAAAATGAAGCGCTAGTTCCATCAGCTGTCAGTAATAGTCTGCTTGAAGGCAATGTTTATCAACACAAGGATCACTGGTGCTTTTTCATGTGTTCCAAAATCTTTAGCAACTGATGTAGAAGAATCCAAAAATGAAAGTCAAGACTGGGCATCAACATTAACAATAGTTTACTAATGTTTTTGCCACAAATACTGCATTTTCTGATAATAAAATTTTGTACAGTGGAATTCAGAGAACTGTATGTTTTACTTGGAATCCTGTAACTGCAGTACTTTTAGGAAAACAGTTGTCTGGTGACATAAATTGCTTCTGCATCAGTTCCACAAACAAGACAAGGACCCAAAACATCCAAACTGTTTACAGACAAAGTCCGGCTGGGCAGTAAACTTGTGATCTCAATACGGTCTTTTGCAGGATCAGTGCTGAGCCAGGAACTTGTAAGAGAATGGTGAACATTTGCCTGGTTACTAATGCTGTGAGAAAGAAAAGTACTGGTTCTTCCTGTGGGGAAAAAAGAAAACAGAAAAAGAGCTTTTAAGACTTTTTTTTTTGGTGTAGGTATGCCAGATCTGAGGCTTAATTTTTCAGCTCAAGGCTAGCACAACCCACTTTCCCTTCTGGCTTTTTGTTGGTTAATAGGAGATCATTTATTGCTTAACTGGTTGCTGGTGGCCCATGCCTATAATCCTTGCTGATACTCAGGAGGCTAATATCAGAGGAAAAGGTACAAAGCCAGCCTAGGTAGAAAAGTGTGTGACTCTTTATTTCTAATTAATCAGCAAAATAAAAAAGCTGAAAGTGGAGGTGTGGTTCAAGTGGTAGAGCATCAGCCTGAAAAAAGTCAATTGAGTCTAGGTGCTGGTAGCTCATACCTATAATCTTAGCTACTCAGAAGGCTGAGGTCATAGCCAGGCACAGGTGGCTCATACCTGTAATCCTAGCTACTCAGGAGGCTGAGAGCTGAGGATCTCGGTTCAAAGCCAGCCGGGCAAGAAAGTCCCTGAAACTCTTATCTCCAATAAACCTCTAGAAAACCGGAAGTGGCGCTGTAGCTGAAGTGGTAGAGCGATAGCCTTGAGCTAAAGAGCTGAGGGACAGCGCTCAGGCCCAGAGTTCAAGCCCCACGGCCGACCAAAAAAAAGAAGGCTGAGGTCTGAGGATCACAGTTCAGTTCAAAGCCAGTCCATGCAGGAAAGTCTGTGAAACTCTTTTTTTTTGGGGGGGGTCCGGTCGTGGGGCCTGGACCTTGGACCTGGGCACTGTCCCTCAGCTCTTCAGCTCAAGGCTAGCGCTCTACCACTTGAGCCACACACCACTTCCGGCTTTTTTCTTTTTGTTTATGCGGTGCTGAAGAATCGAACCCAGGGCCTCAGGCATGCAAGGCAAGCACTCTACCACTGGGCTACCTTCCCAGCCCTTACTGTTGATTTTAATCAAAAGACAGGCCTTTTAAATGGAGAAGAAACCAGGACCATTATATATAAAAAATCTGATTTGTTCTTGCCACACAGCCTGCCCTGACAATACAATGTAAAGGAGCTACAAATGTCTATCCTATGGCATGAGGGCCCAAATCAAGGGCAGTTACAAAGAATTTAGGCTGTCTGAAGCAAGCTAGTAAATTTCTAGTCATCAGGAGTATTGTAGTAAGGAGCCAAAGTCATGATTCAAGCCCTAGGATAATCAAATTTACTCCTCAACAGGAAAATAGAAACATTCTGACATTTTTTAATGTTAAAAATATAAAAACGGGGGCTGGGAAGGTGGCTCAGTGGTAGAGTGCTTGCCTTGCATGCCTGAGGCCCTGGGTTCGATTCCTCAGCACCACATAAGCAAAAAGAAAAAAAGCTGGAAGTGGTGCTGTGGCTCAAGTGGTAGAGCGCTAGCCTTGAGCTGAACAGCTGAGGGACAGCGCCCAGGCCCAGAGTTCAGGCCCCATGACCGGACCCCAAAAAAAAAAAAAAAAAAAAAAAAAAATATAAAAACGAAGCCGGGTGCTGGTGGCTTATACCTGTAATCCTAGCTACTCAGGAGGCTGAGATCTGAGGATCACAGTTCAAAGTCAGCCTAGGCAGGAAAGTCCATGAGACTCTTATCTCCAATAAACCACTCAGAAAATCAGAAGTGGTACTGTGGCTCAAGTGGTAGAGCACTTGCCTTGAGCTGAAGAGCTGAGGAACAGTGCCCAGGCCCAGAGTTCAAGCCCCACGACTGAAAAAAAAAAATGAAAATGTAGAGGACGCCAGTGGCTCATACCTATAATCCTAGCTACTTAGGAGGCTGAGATCTGAGGACCGCAGTTCAAAGCCAGCCCAGGCAGGAAAGTCCATGAGACCCTAATCTCCAACTAACCACCAGAAAACCAGAAGTGATAGAGCACTCGCCTTGAGCTGAAGAGCTGAGAGACAGTGCCCAGACCCAGAGTTCAAGCCCCATGATGGACCAAAAAAAAAAAAAGAAAATGTAGTCAGACATGGTAGTAATCTCATCATGGAGGAGGTTGAGGCATGGAATGTGGAGTTTAAAATCAATCTGGGCTATGAGGTAAATTCAAGGAAGTATATAATGAGACTTAAGTCTCAAAGAAACAAGATCTTGGGATGTAGCTCAATGTTAAGTGCCTGCTTAACATGTGCAAAACTCTAGATTCAATCTCAGCCCTAAAAAAAAAAGAATGTCTAATTTGTCTACATATTTGATATATAGCTCAACAGCAGAATGCTTGTCTAACATACTGAAAGCCTTGAGTTCAATATCCAGTTCTGAAAAAAAAAAATGGAGGGAAAAGCAGCAAACTATAACAAATAAAAATCTTGATGATGATTACCTTGGTGAAAGAGCGAGGACTTTTCGGGTGTATCTGTAGAGGCATCCCAGTGCCAGAGGGATCCATCTTCAGAACAAGTAAACAGATGATCTGGATTGGATGGGTGAAAGTGAACTTCCCACACTAGGAGATAAAAAATGAGAAGCTTATTCTGATCCCAATTAAGCAAGCAACATCAAAACCCCTTCTCCAGGTCTCACTGCCATTATCTTCCATCACATACCTGCAAGACGGTTAAAAAGGCTTCAAAACTAAAGAAAAGAGGATATAACTAAGCTGGAAGCTGATGGCTCACACTTGTAATCCTAGCTACTCAGTAGGCTGAGATCTGAGGATCAAAGCCAGCCCAGGCAGAAAAGTCCGAGCCTCTCTTATCTCCAAGAAACTCAGAAAAAGCCTTTGAGCGAAGCTCAAAGATAGTGCCCAGGACCAGAGTTCAAATCCCCAAAGAGACAAAAAAAAAAAAAGATTTAACTAGCAGTGACTACCATATATCAAAAGAACAAAGTCAAATAAGTCTACTTATAGACTGGACCAAAAAAAGTAAATAAACATAGTTGCTAAATCATTTAACTTATCACACTATTTATAGAAAAGAATGAGCATGGGGCCGCACTGAGATTTTTTTTTTTTGGTCGGTCATGTGGCTTGAACTCTGGGCTTGGGCACTGTCTCTGCCCTCTTCAGCTTAAGGCGAGCGCTCTGCAACTTGAGCTACAGCGCCACTTCCGATTTTCTAGTGGTTTATTGGAGATAGGAGTCTCACAGTCTTTTCTGCCTGGCTGGCTTTGAACCAAGATCCTCCGATCTCAGCCTCCTGAATAGCTAGGATTACAGGCGTGAGCCATCGGCACCCGGCCTGAGATTTCTTTTACTGAAATTGGTGTCTTTACTTTCAATTCCTGGGTCATTAGTGAATAAATGTTCTATTACTGGAAAGACTGAGAGATCACACTGAAATACAAATGAGTTTCTAAGAGTGAGAATTTAGTACTGGCTCATACCAAACTCTGGGTACTTATGTTCTGTATTATAGAAACAGCAATTAGTTTCTAGCAGACCAAAACTTGCAAATGCTCTAAGAAGTGGATTCAGTATCAGACAGAGGCCTATGAAGAAGTCATATTGGGAATGTCATTCCATCCTCATCTCTGGTTCTAAATATTAAAGGAGGGCTGGGAAGGTGCCTCAGTGGTAGAGCGCATGCCTTGCATGCCTGAGGCCCTGGGTTCGATTCCTCAGCACAACATAAGCAAAAAGAAAAAAGCCGGAAGTGGCGCTGTGGTTCAATTGGTAGAGCACTAGCCTTGAGCTGAAGAGCTGAGGGACAGTGCCCAGGCCCAGAGTTCAGGCCCCATGACCAGACCCCCCCCAAAAAACCAAATAAATATTAAGGGAACTCTGGTTGTTCATAGACAGCTGGCAACCAATTACTAGCCAGAAGTCAACTGAGCTTGCAGAGAAGACAGGGGTCTCTGAACAAGGATTCTGTGAGTCTGGGCTATAAGATCTTCAAGAATCAATGCAGATGACTATGGGCATAGCTCAAGTGGTAGGTATTAAGTGTGAAGCCCAAGTTCAATTCCCAATACCACTACCAAAACAAAAAAAAGTCCAGAAAATGCTATCAGGGATAAATGACAGGTCTGCAAGGTGGCAGTCTTCATTCTGACAGATGCCACAATTAAATAACATGCTACAAAGCATAAAAATGTCACCTTCCGGGGCTGGGAAGGTGGCTCAGTGGTAGAGCGCTTCCTTGCATGCATGAGGCCCTGGGTTCGATTCCTCAGCACCACATAAGCAAAAAGAAAAAAGCCAGAAGTGGCGCTGTGGCTCAAGTGGTAGAGTGCTAGCCTTGAGCTGAAGAGCTGAGGGACAACGCCCAGGCCCAGAGTTCAGACTTCAGGCCCCACAACTGGAACCCCCCCTCCCCCCCAAAAAAAGTCACCTTCCTCAGAATGCCTTCTGGAAGAGTTTCCATAAAATACATTCATATTGTGCAATTAAAACAAAAAGGATAGATAGGAATGTATTTATTTCATTAGGGTTTTATAACATAAAAGTATGACAACAGGAACCAGTATTTTTAGACACAACAATCTGACAACATGCATTAAAGCTTTAAATCTATGCAAACATTTTGGACTATCTATTCTACTTCTAAAAAAATTATCCTAAGAAAGTAAGTGCATAGAGAGCTAGGTGCAGGTGGCTCATGTCTATAATCCTCAATATTCAGGTGGCTAAGACCTGAGCATTGTGATTTGAAGCCAGCCCCAGCAGGAAAGTCTGTGAGACTCTTAATTCCAATTAACTGCCAAAAATGCAGGATATGGAGATGTGCCTTAAGTGGCAGAGCACTAGCCTTGAGCAAAAGAGCTCAGAGACAGTGCTCAGGCCTGAGTTTAAGCCCCACAACTGAAAAAAATAAACATTTAAGAAAGTGCATAGAGACTAATATCTAATGGTATTTATTTAGTTTATGTATATAATACTAAAACAAGTTAGAGAAGTTAAAGATTAAGTAGAAAAAGCAGAGTAGGAGAGACACTTGAACTAATAGGCACAGGAAGGAACTTCCTGAACAGAGTCCCAGGGTCACAACAAGTTGGAGAGAGACTCGACAAATGGGACTACCTTAAAATAAAAAGCTTCTGCACAGCTAAATCTATCGCAACTAAGCTAGAAAGACAACCAACTAATTGGGAAAAAATATTTACCAGCAATATATCAGACAAGGGGTTAACATCCTGTATATACAGGGAACTCAAGAAACTAATCCCTCCCAAACCTAACAAACCAATTACTAAATGGGCAAGGGAACTAAAGAGGGACTTCTCAAATGAAGAAATAAAAATGGCAAAGAAACACATGAGGAAATGTTCATCATCCCTGGTGGTGAAGGAAATGCAAATAAAGACAACCCTGAGATACCACCTTACCCCAGTCAGAATGTCCCACATCCACAAATCAGCCAACGACAAATGCTGGAGGGGATGTGGAGAAAGAGGAACCCTATTACACTGCTGGTGGGAATGTACACTTATACAACCACTTTGGAAAGCAGTCTGGAGGGTCCTTAGAAAGCTAAAGATTGACCTCCCTTACGACCCAGTCATACCACTTCTAGGCATCTACCCTGAACAACAGGAACCAATATACAAGGACACGTGCACCTCCATGTTTATTGCAGCACTGTTCGCAATAGCTAGGATATGGAAACAACCTAGATGCCCCACCACAGATGAATGGATCCAAAAATTGTGGTATCTATACACAATGGAATATTATGCAGCCATTAGAAATGACAAAATAATGGCATTTGCAGGGAAATGGATGGAGCTAGAAGGAATCATGTTGAGCGAGGTAAGCCAAGAACGAAGAGACAAACGGTACATGGTCTCCCTGATAAGTGGATGCTAAATCCAAAAGGTTAGGTGATACGACAAAACTAACAGGACTTAAGAAACAAAGAACTCCCGCTCATCTGGTTGAACCACTACTAAATATCCCCATGCTGCTGATCACAAACATGGTATATAACATGTGAACACTGTTATATATTACAGACTGTGGTAGACAATTTGCTCCAGGGAAGTTAGAATGAACTTGTGACTTTGAAATTATGTAATCATTTAATCACAATCAAAAAAAAAAGAACCTGGGGAAGGGAGGGAGGGAGGGGATGGTAGGGGGAAAACAATGGAGGGGGTAACAATGTTCAAGAGGAAGTGTACTCATTACCTCACTCATGTAACTGTAACCCTCTGTATAGTAGCTTTACAATAAAATAAAATTAAAAAAAAAAAAAAAAGATTAAGTAGAAAAAGAGATTAAGATCCCCACAGCTCAATACACAAAGTACTTACATGTCATCTAACTGCCACCTAATAAAAACTTGTGTTTCCACAATACTTACTTTCAGCTTCATGTGCCTTTAGGAGAGATACAGGCATAGTGCCTTGTCGAACATCCCAAATACTCAACATTCCATCCTGGCCACCAGTAGCAACCACATGCTGCTGGTTGGGATGTCTGTCCACACAGTGAAGCGGCACACGGTCACCAGTCCTTGTTGCAAGAGATACACTGTGTCAAATACGTAGTAAAAGTACAACTCACCCTTGTACAACTTAAGAAACATTCCTATTCAACTAAATACATAATTGTGTAGTAGCTAGAGCTATGAAATGATGCCCCAAAACTAATTGCATTGACTATATTTATAATTAGTAAAGAATTTTAAGAAACAATGGCCAAACTTAAGTCTCTCTTCAATTTAGAAACATGGGAAATAAAATAACCTTTTAATGCCGTGTACTGGTGGCTCTTGCCTATAATCCTAGCTCTTCAGGATGCTAAGATCTAAGGACTGCAGTTACAAGCCAGCTTGGCAGAAAAGTCCATGAGACTCTTAGTTCGAATAAATTACCAAAAAAGCTGGAAGTGGCACTGTGGTTCAAGTGGTAGCTTGAGTAAAAGCAGCTCAGGGACAGTGCCCAGGAACAGCAAAAAAAAAAAAAAAAAAACACAAAAAACCCCCCCACCACAACAACAACAAAAAGAAATTATAAAAAACTACTGGTAAGATGTACAACTCATCTTTCCCTCTTCTAAGCTTTTAAAAAGTATGCATGAACTATGCCAGATATTCTTTACTTACATCGTAGTTTGCCTCAGTATCCAAGATAGCTGGGAATACAAGTATATGCCACCATGCTCAGGTATTTGCCTTATTTAATGCTTAATTTATACACACACACACACACACAATTTTATTTATTATTTTTTTGCCAGTTGTAGAGCTTGAACTCAGGGCCTGAGCACTGTTCCTGAGCTTCTTTTGCTCAAGGCTAGCACTCTACCATTTGAGCCATAGCACCACTTCTGGCTTTTTCTGTATATGTGGTACTGAGGAATCAAACCCAGAGCTTTATACATGCCAGGCAAGCACTCTACCACTGAGCCACATTCCAGCCCTATATAATTTTTTTTCAGCTTTACACATTGTATTTGTTGTCATGGTTTAAGACAGGGTCATGGTACATAGCCCAGACTGGCCTGGAGCTCCAGATTCTTCTGCCTCCACCTGTCGAGTGCTGGGATTACAGGTTTGCCTGGGTAGCCTGACATATTCTGATTTTTAAAGAAAATATGAAGATTAAACACCTTGAAAAGGAGAAATCTGTCCAGAAAAAAATATTCTGGCATGTATTTTATCCCCAATCACTTCAGGGTATATTTCACTCACTATCTATATAATCATTTTTTGTTTTGTTTTGTTTTTGGTCAGTCATAGGGCTTGAACTCTGGGCCTGGGCGCTGTCCCTCAGCTCTTCAGCTCAAGGCAAGCGCTCTACCACTTCCAGTTTTCTGGTGGTTTACTGGAAATTAGAGTCTCATGGACTTTCCTGCCTGGGCTGGCTCTGAACCGTGATCCTCAGCCTCCTGAGAAGCGCCCAGCTCAATATAATCATTTGATGAACATAGATTTTTTTTTGGGGGGGGGGGGGTTTGGTCGTGGGGCCTGAACTCTGGGCCTGGGCGCTGTCCCTCAGCTCTTCAGCTCAAGGTTAGCGCTCTACCACTTGAGCCACAGCGCCACTTCCAGCTTTTTTCTTTTTGCTTATATGGTGCTGAGGAATCGAACCTAGGGCCTCAGGCTTGCAAGACAAGCGCTCTACCACTGAGCCACCTTCCCAGCCCGAACATAGATTTTTTTCCATTAAACAATATAAACTTCAGTGGTACCAGCACAAAAAACAAACAAAATAACTTCAAAAAGATAAAGACTCTGCATATAATACTTATTATATGTGAATCATAGTAGTATTAAGCCCATCATGTTATACTTGCCTTATCAGTTAACCAGTAAAAAGGGTCAATGATTTGACAGTCAGTTGTACTAATTAATTGGATCAATTAATTTTATGTTATACAACTGAAATTACAAGTCAAAACTTACAGAGAGAGTTCAGTGGCAAATGAGTTGCCTACCAAGTGCAATGTTCTGGGTTTGATTCCCAGTACCAAAAAATAAAAGACAAAAAAAAAAAAAAAAACTTACAGTGATAATATCTGAGAGGGCTCATTTCCTTGTTGTCTGAAATCCCATATTTTTAACTGTCCAATTGAATTTACTGTAAGAATCTCAGGAGTTCGAAGGAAGGTTACAGCATGAAGTGTACTGCTATCTGCATTGTCTACAAGTTAAGAAGTAATGGGAATTAATAGGTCTCTCTTCCCCCAAGAGTGTCTGAGATCATAACCCCTCTATTGATTCAAATATTAGAAATGAGAATTTGGACAGACCTGGTGGCTCACATCTGTAATCATAGCTATTCAGGAGGATGAGATCTTGAAGATCACAATTCTAAGGCAGCCTGAGAAGAAAGTCTGAGATTCTTATCAATTAACCACAAAAGGCCAGAAATGGAGCTGTGGCTCAAGTAGCAGAATGCTAGCCTTGAGCACAAAAGCTAGAGACAGCAGCCAGGCTCAGATTTCAAGCCCCAGGACTAACCAAAAAAGAAAGAAAGAAAGAAAGAAAGAAATGAAATTTTACATTAGTTTAATTTCTATGGAAATATGCGTGACAATGTGCAGGTTTAGAAACATTCCTCTGATAGAAAAATACAACTGACAGCTGAACTGTTGCTTAGCTAGGGGACTGAGTTTTTACCATTTCCTTCTGTGTGTTTGTGCTAGTATTGGGATTCTGATCACAGGGCCTGGGTGCTGTCCCTTAGCTTTTTCACTCAAAGCTGGCACTCCACTAATTAAGCACAGTTCCACTTTTGGCGTTTTAGAGGTTAGTGCAGATAAAACAGTCTCATGGATTTTCCTGCCCAGGCTGACTCTGAACCACAATCTTCCAATCTCAGCCTCCAATTAGCCTCCTAGCTAATATTATAGGAATGAGCCTTTTTTTTGGTCAGTCCAGGGTTTGAACTCAGGGTCTCATGTTTACTCAGCTAGCTTGCTCAGCTGGTGGTCTACTTTTTTTTTGGGGGGGGGGGGGGTTTAGTCGTGGGGCCTGAACTCTGGGCCTGGGCACTGTCCCTCAGCTCTTCAGCTCAAGGCTAGTGCCCCACTACTTGAGCCACAGCGCCACTTCCAGCCTTTTTCTTTTTGCTTATGTGGTGCTGAGGAATCGAACCCAGGGCCTCAGGCATGCAAGGCAAGCGCTCTACCACTGAGCTACCTTCCCAGCCCCTGTTGGTCTATTATTTGAACCATACCTCCAGCCTGGTATTTTTGCTGGTTATCTTTGGAGATAGAGTCTCAGAGGCTTTTCTTCCCAGACTAGCTTTGAACTGCAATCCTCTAGAACTCAACTTCCTGAATAGCTAAGATTATAGGCATGAGCTTTATATATTTTTATATACAACACTTAGGACTGTATTTACTTGGCAATCTTAAGTATTCAATTACTATGAGATAGATGATTCTTCTTACCTATAGTCCTTACAGCTTCCTTGTGATCAAGTCTGAAGAGATTTATTCGACCATCTTCTCCAACTGTGACAATTTCTGGGTTGTCACATACAACACCTGTGCATGGTGCACCACTATAGGAAGGACTGCCAGGACCTGTGTGGTAGTGAGCTGCTGTCCACTGCTGGCTCACTGACAGGGTCTAGGCATCAGAAAGAAGAGTACTAGGAATCAAACAAAGTTCCAGAGAACGATCACTTTATTTCACACTCTTCTAGAAAAAGAATAATTTGCTTCTCTTCTTTGTACCTTATGAGTATCAATGTCTAAAAACTACTTCCGTTAAAGCTTGTATGCACACAGAATTAGTCTTCCAAGAATGTTTTTCAGTAATATTCTACATTCATCTTTTTTTTTGTCGATCGTGGGGCTTGAACTGTGGGCTTGGGCGCTATCCCTCAGCTCTTCAGCTCAAGACTAACGCTCTGTTGTGGCTTGAGCCACAACACAACTTCCGGTTTTCTCATGGTTTATTGGAGATAAGAGTCTCATAGACTTTCCTGCCCGGGCTGGCTTTGAACCGTGATCCTCCGATCTCAGCCTCCTGAGTAGCTAGGATTACAGGCATGAGCCACCAGCACCCGGCTCTACATTCATCTTAAATGAATAACTTTTAGCTATCAGGTAGCTCACAAGTAACTCTATAAATTTTTGTGAGAAGCCGGGCGCTGGTGGCTCACGCCTGTAATCCTAGCTACTTAGGAGGCTGAGATCTGAGGATAGCGGTTCAAAACCAGTCGGGGCAGGAGAGACCTTGAGACTCCTATCTCCAATAAACCACCAGAAAACCGGAAGTGGCGCTGTAGCTCAAGTGGTAGAGCGCTTGCCTTGAGCTGAAGAGCTGAGGGACAGCGCCCAGGCCCAGAGTTCAAGCCCCACGACCGACAAAAAATAAATAAATAAATAAATAAATTTTTGTGAGAAAATGGACAAGTAAGAAATAAACTTGTATATCTTTCGTTAATTTTTTGTTTTCTTTTTCTGCATTAAGAAAAATAGTTAAGGGCTGGGAAGATGACTCAGTGGTATTGTGCTTGCCTTGCATGCATGAGCACCACATAAGCAGAAAAAACTGGAAGTGGTACTGTGGCTGAAGTGGTAGAGCGCTAGCCTTGAGCTGAAGAGCTGAGGGGAAGTGCCCAGGCCCAAAGTTCAGGACCCACGACCAACCAAAAAAAAAATAATAATAAGATCGAATACTTATTAGGTGACTTAATTTTGGGGTTTTTGTCAGTCATGGGGCTTGAACTCAGGACTTGGGTTTTGTTCAAGTACTCTCCCACCTTGAGCCACAATACCACTTCCAGTCTTCTGGTGGGAGATAAGAGTCTTATGAACTTTCCTGCCCAGGTTGGCTTTGAACCATGATCCTCAGATCCTACCCTCTTGAGTAGCTAGAATTACAGGTGTAAGCCCAGCACCTGGCCTATTAGGAGACTTTTTCCAAATCCAACAAGCCCTATGACTTAAAATTGTGTTGCTGGCAAGGGCTATTTTAAAGAATTGTTCTCACCACTGTGAAGGTCAGCACACAAAAAACTTAAGCATACAAGAACTTTAAAAATGGTTAAGCCTTGAGTTAGTTCCTAATGAAGACCTGGGTTATACCCAAATAAGCAAAATATCTGTTCCTCTTTCATTCATAGTATCTACATGATGCTCTTTTTCCAAATATTAAAGACTTTTAAAGGAAAAATTACAAGATTACCTAGTAGAATACCTACTAGGTATTACCTAGAAGACCTACTTAACGGAATGTATTTAAAGGCTGTCAATTCCATGAAAGCACAGAGATATAGTTCTACACTCACAAGTGGAGAATAGGGGATAGGGGTTATAGCTAGCTCAGTAACAGAATATATACCACATTAGAGGCCCTGGGTTTAATTCCTAGCACACGAACACTCACACCTAAAACATTGGGCAGTATTTTTTCCTCTTCATTATTATTATTTCTTTAAAGGCTAGGTCATATCTGGTTTTGAACTCACTGGTTTAAGAAATCATCTTGCCTCATCCAGAGTACTGTATAGAATACCTGATTTTACAGAAATATACTATTCCAGCTCCCTTAATATTTAAATACTACAAAAATTGTTTGTGTAATTATTAAGCACAGCCTTCTTTAAACCTCCCTAAAAATCATTAGAATAAAATTTTATGTTTGAAATAGAAGTGCTTTACCTGGTTATTTGGATGGTGAAGGAAAACGGTTACACATCCTGTTGATGAAGCAGCTACAATTCTTTCCTGGTCAAAAAACTAAACAGAAAATTCCTGCTTATTATAGATTTACAGACTCAGAAATATAAGCAAGGAAAAAGCCCACTTATTTGTTCAACTCAGTTACCAGCAAATCCTATAACAATGTAAAAGACCAAACAGCATAAAAATACCAAGAAAAATGTATAAACAGATCTAAAAATAAAAACGGTCATAAATATAAAAGTATTTTCATAATAGTATTTTTGCTTTTTCTTTTATTTTTTTTTGTATACTGGAGTTTACCACTTGAGACACACCTCCAGCCTTCTCTTTTAGTGGTTATTTTGAAGATGGAGTCTGCTCAACCTACTGGGTAGCTAGGATTACAAATGTGTGCCACTGGTGCCTGGCAAAAATAGTAATTTTAAGCTAAATTTATTTGCCCAGAATTTACTGAAATTTGGGCCATAACAATAAAACAGTCCTACAGATAGATAGCTTTCTATAGAGTAAAATGCGTAGTCTGAAGTCATAAGGACCAGGACTTGATGGGGCTGGGAATGTGACTTAGGGGTAGGACCCTTGCCTAGCATGTAGGAAGCCCTGGGTTCTATACCTCCGGACCACATAAACAGAAAAAGCCAGAAGTGGCAGTGTGGCTCAAATGGTACAATAACAACTTTGAGCAAAAGAAGTTGGAGACAGTGCTCAAGCCCTGAGTTCAAGCCCCAGGACTGGCCAAAAAAAAAAAAAAAAAAGCTGGGCATGGGTGGCTCATGCCTGTAATCGTAACTATTCAGGAGGCTGAGATCTGTTTGAAGGCGGCCCAAGCCCCCGGGGCAGGAAAACCGATGAGTCTCCCATGTAAGCCCTTGAGTCTTACCTTGTTATCTACAAAAAAAAACAACAACAACAACAAACGCCAGAAATGGAGCTGTGGCTCAAATGGTAGAGTAGTCCTGAGCTTTAGTTCAAGCCTCAGAACTGCACGGGCATGTGCACAAGCATACACACACAAATTGCGTAGGGATCTATGTTGCCTAAGCTGACCTCAAACTCCTAAACTCAAGTAGTTAGGACTCTTGGGAGGATATCTAGCTCTTGGGAGGATATCTAGCTCTGAAAACTTAAATTTCACAGCCACAACTTACTACTGCTTTTGAGACCTTTTATAGAGAACCTAAATTCTCTCAAGCTTTGTTGGCAAACCTTGAAAACAGGAGGATTAACCTCTAGAGAGTAATTCTGACAATTCAAAAGTCATCCCATGTTAACTGCCTTCACGAAGTTTACTACACAATATGTTCAAAAGATACTAATCTCAGCTTTCTCAGGGTGACAGAATTAACAACCCTGGGAATACAGGTCAGTGTAGAATACCTGGCTAGCATGTGAAGCCCTGAGATCATCCATTGTAGGTGGTGGGAGACAAAACCAAACTTGACTTACAGGCATGCAATCTCTATCTCCCAAACCATGGCTTGGCACATAGGAGACGGACAATTAATTTTAAAACTATGACTAAACCTACATCCTCTTTCCCAGTTCTAATTCTGCCAGTGGGTGGCTAAATGATTTTTGGCAAAACCATACTTTAAGGTGTCCAGTATCTCTACCGATATCCTTTCAAATTTTAGAAGTTAACTTCTGGTTACATCACAGATTTACCTGTAAATCCATGACATCACCATGGTGTCTGATATCACACAATAATTGATGGTCTCCTTCAAAGCCTCCATCAGAATCCACGTTTCCAAAATCTCCAATAGACCACAGGGAGACGTAATTGTCCTGCAAGGCAGAAAGTTGTACCTTGAGAGGTTGTAACCGTCAGCCCCCCGGAAAGTAAACATCTGTATTGTGTGTGGCATCGCATTCGTACGGGGCTCAGACAAAGGTTAACCCCCGGGTCCCCAGACCTTTCCAGAGAACAAGGAGAGTCGGCGCGCGCACCACCCGGGGCGCGGAACCCGAGAAGACAGCGGGTACCTCATTGTCCCAAGAGCCTGTAGCGAACGTCTCCGCGGTCTGCAGGCTCCCGGGAGGCACCGGTCGCCAGCGGGTTTTGCTGATTTTCTGAGACACAAATTTGGCGTAAATATCCTCCATGCCGAGAGCGACCCGGGCAGACCCAGCAAGAAGCGCGCCGCGCGCCTCTCAGTCCCGCCCCTTCCCGCGGAGTCCTGATTGGACGAAACCTCTGTCCGGAGACGGTGGCTGCCGAGAGCCAATCTTCCTCCGGACTCGGTGTTGGAACTGCGGACTCCCGAGTGTGCAGTCCATCTTCACTGTGAGGAGCGTTTAGGCCCTTAGGCCCCGGCGGCACTAAGTCCTACCTATTCCCGTCCCGCAAAATCAGTGTGGGAACGGAAATAGTGTTTGATAATGCAATAATTAGGCAGTATAAGAGAGCATTGTAAGGACAAAAAAAAAAAATCAATGTGAGACAAACATTGCATAAAAAAAGACGATTTAGGGGCTGGGAAGGTGGCTCAGTGGTAGAGTGCTTGCCTTGCATGCATGAGGCCCTGGGTTCGATTCCTCAGCACCACAAAAGCAGAAAAGCCGTAAGTGGCGCTGTGGCTCAAGTGGTAGAGCGCTAGCCTTGAGCTGAAGAACAGTCAGCACCCAGGCCCAGAGTTCAAGCCCCACAACACAACTGACAAAAAAAAGTACAAGCCTATTATCCCAAATCTTTTTCTCTTTATTCCCAAATTTCTTGCTTTAAAGTTGATGTACATTTTCAGAGCCTGGAGTTGGAATTAGGAGACTCTAGTTTTTATTCCAACATATATCCTTGCTTGTAACCTGGGTCGATTTATTTCTGTAATTGAGTTTGGTGATGGCTAAGGTCAACAGACCAGGAATCCATTCTCTACAGTCCTTCTGTACTGTTGTTAAACTTCTCTGAACATGTAAAATACTATTAGTTCCAGGAAATGGAAGCATGGTTTTTGTTGTTGATATTGTTGTAATAGTTCTTGTGCTTTAGATTTTCTGGGGACCAAAGGGAGAGAGATTGCAGAAAAGGAGGAAGGGAGGGTAAACCAATGCAATTATGCTATTTAGCATGCACCATGTGGAAAATGATCTATGCACCTATGCAACTTGTGGGCTAGGATAGGAGAAATGGGGAAAGCAGAGGAAGGGGTAGCATTGTCCAAAAAATAAAGAAATGTACTCTTATGACTTATGAAATGGTAACCCCTCTATACACCACCTTAATATTAGCAATAAAATTATATTGATAAAAGGAAATATTGGGGCTGGGAAGGTGACTCAATTGTAAAGTGCTTGTCTTGCTTGCATGAGGCCCTGGGTTCGATTCCTCAGCACCATATAAGCAGAAAAAGGCAGAAGTGGTGCTGTGGCTCAAGTGGTAGCTGAAAGAGCTGAGGGACAGCGCCCAGGCCGAGTTCAGGCCCCATGACCAACAAAAAGAAAGTTACTTGCAACATCCATCCCTCCCTCTCTAGTTTTCAGAATCTTTTTCCATCCTTGAAATTCTTGAACGATAAAATCAGTACCTTCCTGCACTTTTGGGGAGGGGGGGTCCATTATAGGGCTTGAACTCAGGGCCTGAGCGATGTCCCACTTTGAACTGGTAGTTAATTGTACAAGACTTATGGACTTTCCTGCCCAGGCTGACTGAATGGTGATCCTCAGATCTCAGCCTCTTGAGTACCTAGGATTACAGGGGTGAGCCACCCAGATCATTCATCTTTTGAATCACTATACACTACAGTATTTATCACTATGTGTTGTTTCTTTAGAAGGGATCGTCATATACAGTTATCTTTATCTTAAATTGATAGCACCGCTCACAGTGAGAGTGTATAAAAGTACTACTTGTAAATGCAATCCATCAGGGGCAAGAAGTTGTCAGTTTCCTGTTAAGACAGTGAGTTTTATTCAGCAGAAAGACTTACCAATCAGGCCATTCTGGCATGTTAATCTCTCTGTATACGTTTATTTGGGAGCTGGCCAAAAGTGTGGAGAGAGAGAAGCATTTCAAATCTGCCTCCTTAAGGATTTGGGGATATTTGGGTGAGGAAAGGTGATTGGATTACACCTAACTGGGTCTCATCATGACCCTGGTGACACATTCACAGACAACTAAAAGCAAGCAACTAAGGGTAAGTGAAATCATGATGGAAAAACAAGGAACTCTAAGAATAGGTGCAGTTTGGAAAGCTTATTCAGGAACTAGGAGCAGATGGTTTACTTAGATTTTTCTTTGCTGTCAAAATGATTGGGAGAGATGGGATGGAGAACTACCACGGATTAGAGATCCAAATATTCAATTTTATTCTTATCCAGTAATTATATGTTTGTTTGTTTGTTTTCCAGTACTGATGGTGCACCACTGTAATCCCAGCACTGGTGTGAGGCAAAGGCACAAGAATCAGGAGTTCACGTGTGATATGTAAAGAGACCCTGTTTCAAACAAAACCAAAACATCAAAAACACAAACGAGTTTCCCATATACATTCATTTATGGTCATGGAATAATTAAAAAAATAGGTAAAGTGTATTTCAAACTGGAAACATGTTGCGTGACAAATTTTGCTAAGAAGTAGCATTTTGAAGTTGCTGCTGACATAGTTAAGGCAGATGTTTCTACATAGCTCTGCTTCCTTTCTAAAGTTTACTGTACTGGTAGCTGGATTCTGTCAGCCCTAAGTCTAATTAGGAGTCAGCAATTTGGATGTGACAGGCAGCGTTCCGTGTCAGCTTTTCGCTCATGGTCTTGCACAGCTGATAACAATACAGCTGATGTCCAGTCTAAGTGTAGAATTTGCGAGGCCTGATTCGCTGAACACACACACTTGGTGTAGAGAAAATAGAATGTTCGCCATAGGGTGCTGCGCCGTTTTATAACCAGTGCTTTACGCTTGTTTGGTTTGAAATGAGCAAAACACGCCACCCCCCCACCCCGCCCAACCCCAGGACACGGGATTATTCCACGCTGAGTGTGCTCTTTATAGAGCTGAAATCCAACCATGGTCCCCCAGTCTCCGCGTGACGGAGGAGGGAGATGCTGGCTCCGGAGCCCGAGGCTCAGGTCCTCGGGTGGGAGCCTGCGATGCCTGTCATTCCGGCCCCATCACCCCCTCTGCCTCTCACCGATCCAACTAGGAGTCCCCGGGGTTGCGTGAGGCAGGGCGGAGGCAGCCCACCGTCTAATAATCTGGACAGCCATAGGAGCAGCCCCGCCGCTCGCAACAGCTGACCCGACGGCGACTGCGGAGCCACCCGTAGCGGCGGCGCAGATCCGCCCGGGCCTGCCGACGCCGCGCGGGGTGGCCGGAGCTGCGGTCAGGAACCGGACGCACCGCGCCGGGCGCCGCCGGCCTGGCCTCAGGACCCGGGCAATACGATCAACGGCTTCTTCAGAGAGAGGGACGCGGAGGCGTTGACCGAGACCTGCCTCTCCCCGGCGTCTGCCCACAGCCACAGCCCGCACAGCAGCGGGGGAACCAGGCACCCCCACCCCTCCCCTGCCCCCATCCCCCGGGCTCCGCCCGGCCGCACCCCGGGCCGCGCGGCGTCACAGAGCGCATGCGTGCCGCGGGGGATGCCGGGAGCGCGCAGTGGCGGCAGCAGCGGCGGCGGCGGCGACGGCAGTAACAGCGGCGACTTCGGCGAGGACGCCAGCGGGGCGGTGACCGCGTGGGAGGTGGTCTCACTCTTGGGGAAACTCCTGGGCACCGTCGCCGCGCTGAAGGTGGTTCTGTACCTGCTCCGGGTGTGCTTAGCGATGGCCTGGAAATCCGGCGGCGCCAGCCACTCGGAGCTAATCCACAATCTCCGCAGTAAGTGCCACCCCCGCCGGGGTTGGCCGGTTGGGGCAGGCTGGGCCTGGACTGGGTCCCCCCGGGCCATCCGGAACGTTCCGTCCGCACCCCCGGCGCCTGTCGGAGGGCTTGGGCGCACGGTTGCACCGGTAGTCCGGAACGGCGTGCGCTTGCAGCCGCCACCCCCGAGACCTGTCACCAGTCGGCGACGTGGAGGGTCCGGGGCGAGGGCCGGCCAGGGGCCGCTGCTCGGGCGGGCCTGGGGCCGCGGTCTCCCGGCGGGCCTGCGGGGACCGGGCGCGGCGCGGGTGGTGGAGCTGTCACTGGAGTTCGCGGTCCTACAGGCGAGGGGCGTGCCTCTGCGTGGCGACGTGCGGGCTCGGATGCCCAGGGACCGGGCTGGGACCGAGGGGCCCCTCGCCCCGGCCCTCCTTCATTTTCTCACCCTCCGCCTCTTCCTCCTCCTCCTCCTCCATCGATTCCTCGCAAGCTCTCGGTCCTCCGCTGCCTCCCCCGCCCTGGGTTTTTTCCTCTGGAGGGAGATGCCACTGGCTGATACGGGTGAGGGGAGGGAGAGGAAGAGCAGAGAATGGCCGTTGCGGATGCTAGCAGACATTTCTTGGGCGGCTGTCCAGTGGAAAGCTCGTTGGGGGGCGGCGGCGACCCTCCCAGGGTGCCGTTCCGGGGACACCTGTGCCTCTGGAGTCTGTAGAGACCCTGGGTCCGGCCCGCGACTGTGGAGTGTTCTGACTTATTCGGGACTACCGTGGGCTTAATTTAAAAGCCTGGTAGGGAGGGGGGGGCTTAATAGCATCCTCCAAAGTTAAGTCCCTTCCTCCGGTCAGACGAGCGCTGTGTCACTTTCTTCTTGAAATTGAAATGTGGAGTCACTGTCTGGTTGAGGCTCCAGAAGGAGCAAAGTCCGCACTAATCTCACTCTGCTCACAGTTTTTATAGCTCTTCGCGGCTCACCCAGTACTCAATAAAATCCTGCCAGTGATTTTTTTTTTAATTGTCCAGTGTGTTTTAGCTTTACAAGTGCTTGTCTCATCTCTCAACTCTATTTGTAATCTCCTTGAGGGCTGAGACCATTACAAAAAATTGAATCGTCTCAAATAACGTAATGCGCAATTTCTTTATTCGCTGTTGCTAAGTGGCCACTGTAAGCTCAAATCTATGCTAGGAATACAAATGTGAGAGCCAGAACTGAACAGGACTATTTGGCCCTTGATATTCATCATTGGACCTTTTTTGTAAAAATACTTAAAAAGTGGAAATTGTGTCTTTAATAATTGACAGAATAAATTATGTCTTAATATTCTTCGTTTACTAAAGAATAGTAAACTATCTTTAGATGTTAAAATTTTTCCAGTCACTGCCAACATTCACTTTATGGAAAGATATTTTGTTGGAAGACATTTATGGACTGAGCAGGAAATGGGACTTGAATTCCCTTGACTGCACATAAACTGAATGTGTTGTAAATATTTTAATGAAATTTCTTAACATGATCTAAGTTCTTGCTATTATATACAGTACACAACATTCTATATGTGAATTGTGACTAAGTACTTTTCCACTGGTAGGTTATCACATTAGGCACTTGCAGTGGCGGAAATTTGTAACCTATCAGGCTCTTAAAGTTGCTCCTTTGGGGCCAAATTTGTGGCAACCCAAGACTGGATCTTTTCCTGGTGGTTTTCACTTCAATGTATTGCTATTCTTAACTGAAATTTCTATGGATGTTTTTCTTTCAGAAAAATTGATAAGGATTACTTAATGTATGTGGAGGGTGATGTTGCAGTTACACAGTTTTATACTGTTTTATGATTGAAAAGAGGAAATTTGAGTCTACAAGTTGTATAGACTCTTATGTAACACTTGTGCAACTTTAAACTTACTGAGGTAATTCTAGCTAATAGATTTATTTTTTATTTATTAGTTTATTATAAAAGTAATATTTGAGCCCTGCGTAGTGGTGCATAACTATATTTTCAGCATTTGGGAGACTGAGGCAGGAAGATCATAAGTTCTAGGCTAGCTTTGGCTACATCTAAGATGTCTCAAAATTAAACAAAGTAAAACAAAACGGGCTGGGAAGGTGGCTTAGTGGTAGAGTGCTAGCCTCTCATGCGTGAGGCCCCGAGTTCAATTCCTCAGCACCACATAAGCAGAAAAAGCTGGAAGTGGCACTGTGGCTCAAGTGGTAGAGTGCTAGCCTTGAGCTGAAGAGGGACAGCACCCAGGCCCAGAGTTAAGGCCCCATGACTGACAAAAAAAAAAAAAAAAGAGAGAGAAAGAAATATACTCATTACCTTGCTCATGTAATTGTAACCCCTTTGTATGGTATTTTTACAATTAAAAAATATGTAATAAAATTAAAAAAAAACAAAGTTACTCATGTAAACATTGACACACAACTTGAAAAAAAATCTCCTTTTTCCTTAATTTTTTCCATATGTTCTTCCTAAGTGCCCCCACCCCAAGCAGGGCTTTGTGCCATTTGCCCCCCTCCCCCAACTTTCATTGAAATAAAGCTGTGGTGAAACTTAGGAAGAATATGGTAGCAGGAGTATTTGATTTAGTCTTTTAGAGCAGGCTTATCTAAACCAGATATTTTGTGGAAGGTTAACATTCTTTTGTTTATATATAGTTTTGTGGAGGGGGGGGGTACGTGCGCCCGCCAGTTTGGGGGCTTGAACTCAGGGTTGAGATGTTGTTTCTGGGCTGCTTTTTGCTTATGGTTAGCCCCTCTACCATTTGAACCACAGCTCCACTTCTGGCTTTTTGGTAGTTTATTGGAGATAAGAATCTCATGGAGCCAGTGCAGGTGGCTCACACCTGTAATTCTAGCTACTCAGGAGGCTGAGGCCTGAGGATTGTGGTTTCCAGCCTGGGCAGGAAAGGCTGTGAGACTTTTATCTCCAATTAACCACCAGAAAAACGGAAGTGGCACTGTGGCTCAAGTGGTAGAGCACTAGCCTTGAGTGAAAAACTTGGACAGCATCCATGCCCAGAGTTCAAGCCCCATGACCAACCCCCCCAAAAAAAAAAAATCATGGACTTTCCCCACACAATCCTCAGATCTTAGAATCTTGAATAGCAAGGATTACAGGCATGATCCACTGGTGCCAGGCAACCAAATGATATTTGAGTGCCATTTTTTCTTTTTCAGACAAGGCTTCATTATGTTAGCCGTGTACTCTTGGATCAAACAGCTTATTTTGGGTTCATTTTGGGAGTTTTAGACCATAATGGGTTGGCCCCATAATAAGGGAGCACTTATAAGCAGAAGTGAATGACAGGACATAACACCTCACCTATGGCCATGAAGGAAAAGAGAGGCGATCAGGGGCTCAAAAATCTCATTCTAGGGCATGAACCCTGTGGCCTAAAGACTTCTTGCCCTGTCACACATCGCCCAGCTTCCCAGTCTTTCCTTTGAAATTTCAGAGGAAGCTATCGTGATCCCATAACCTGCATTGTGTATGTCTGTAAAACCTCCATCAGATGGGTGTATGTCAAGGTTCTGCCACAAGCAGGGCTGTCTATACTTGAGCCCATTGGAACCACAGTAGTGGCAACCTCTGAGAGCCTTAATAACTACATATAGCATGACTGCTAAAGTAGGTATGGGCCAGAGTGGTGTCTGAACCTCTTCTGTGGACTCTGACCTAGAAAGTCTTATAAAGTCTTCCATTTCTACATGTCAGCCTGCAACATGTCAACTGATTCCTGAGATGCCTACCAGGCACCCTGTTGTCTGGTACAAAGCACTTGGCTTCTTTTCAGTGGTATTAGTCTCCTCAGCAACTGCAGAGCTCCTTGGCCATACCATCTATGTATGTTTCTTTGTTGGCCAAACTACAACTTTTTCAAATATTTCTGCTCTGTTCCTTTTTTGCTCCCACTTAATATAAATTAGACTTGTTATAAATTAGACTAAAAGCAGCCTGTAAAGTTCATACCATAACCTGAATGCTTTTTTTCTTAGGAAATCTCACCCACTTGATAAATTTGTCTATTATGTTTAAGCACAGGCTCCCACAGCCTCCAAGACAGATGAAAAATTCTTTGCCACAGGTTCACAAGGCACAAGTGGCCTTTGGTCTAGTTTTCAATATAATCTCCTTTTTTTTTTTGTTGGTTGTGGGGCCTGAACTCTGGGCCTGGGTACTGTCCCTCAGCTCTTCAGCTCAAGGCTAGCACTTACCACTTGAGCCACAGTGCCACTTCCACCTTTTTCTGCTTATGTGGTGCTGAGGAATTGAACCCAGGGCCTCATGCATGCAAGGCGAGCACTCTACCACTGAGCCACCTTCCCAGCCCCTCAATATAATTTCCTTTCTATCTGAAATTATGTCATCAGTATAGAATATACTGTCTGCATTCTTAGCAGCTTGCTGCTTCTGAGTCTCCATCAGAATTGCCCTTTAAACTGTACGTACAACACTTTAGACTTTTTCTAGCTTGCTTCTCCAAATGAGTCCAGATTCTTCCCATAAACAAAAGTTTCTCTATGTTGTCTTAGGTATAGTTATAGTCTGGGATCCCAGTTTTCTATTACTGTAATCAATATCTGAGAAAAATCAACTTAAGAGAAAAGATTTACTTGGTATTGTTTTTTGTTTTGTTTTTTTTTTTTTGGGTCCGGTCATGGGGCCTGAACTCTGGGCCTGGGCGCTGTCCCTCAGCTCTTCAGCTCAAGGCTAGCGCTATACCAATTGAGCCAAAGCGCCACTTCCGGCTTTTTTCTTTTTGCTTATGTGGTGCTGAGGAATGGAACCTAGGGCCTCATGCATGCAAGGCAAGCGCTCTACCACTGAGCCACCTTCCCAGCCCTGGGTATTGTTTTTTGTTTTGAGTTTCAGTCTGTTTTAATTGACTGTTGCTTTGGACCTGTGGCAAGGTAACCAAGCAGAGCTTCTGACCCTAGGAAAAGGTAGCCCCCATGAGCTAAGACTACCCACTAGGATTGCTGGCTTAAAAGTTTCTACCACTTGGCAGTAGGCCAAGCT